TTTTTTTTTTTTTTGCACTGGTGACTGAATTTAGGGGTGCTATACCAATGAACTATATCCCTAGACCCCCACTCTTTTTTTTTTCTTTTTTTAATTTTGAGGCAGGGTCTTACTAAGTTGCTGAAGGCCTCACTAACTGCTGAGCCTGGACTTGAACTTGTGATCCTTCTACCTCAGCCTCCAGAGTACTAGGATTACAGGCATGTACCACCATGCCCAGTCAAGACTATAATTACTTTTAAAATAAATGTACTTTTTAAATGGAAGAAGGCAGATGTCACTGGTTGTCAGGACTCCAAAAGGTACTCCAACCAGACAAAGGTGTGACTGTCCAGACAGGTCCCTGGGAGGCAGGGCCACAATGAGGTCATTACTTTTCAGGGTTTGGACCCTGAACTTAATAGGTTCAGAAACTTTTTTTTTTTTTTTTTGCCATTTCCAGACATGATCAAATTGAGGGCACTAATACATTCTAGTTAGAGAGATATGCACATACAGATTTTAAAAATGCAGTGAGAAATGTAAATGTCAAAGGGACTAGAGATCAGCTTGTCCTGCCACTATCCCTGGTTTCCCTTCCTAGTTACCTAAATAAATCCTGTTTTTTTTCAAGGATAATAATGTGCCTGAAGGATGACATCTGGCACTTGAGAACTTTGCATGTTGGGAATTTTTTTGTAGTTTTTTTTTTTCATGTTTTAATTACATAATTATATGTTAACTAAACAGGAAAGAAGGAAAGAAGCTGAGTTCAGTAGTGCATGCCTATAACCCCAGAGATTGGGAGGTTGAGGCAAAAGAATGGTAAATTCAAAGTCAGCCTCAGCGAGGCCCTAAGCAACTTACTGAGGCTCTTCTCAAAATAAAAAATTTAAAAAAGAGCTGGAGATGTGGCTCAGTGGTTAAGCGCCCCTGGGTTCAATCTCTGATAAAAATAAAATAATAATAATAATAAATAATAATAAAATAAAATAAAACAGGAAAGTACAGGGGCTGGGGTTTTATCTCAATGGTGGAGTACTTGTGTTACATTTATGAAGCACTGGGTTCAATCATTAGCACCACATAAAAATAAATAAAATAAAGGTATTGTGTCCATCTACAACTAAAAATATTTTTAAAAAAGAAAAAGAACATTCTACATTTAAACCTGGCTTTCTTGCATGTATTTGGATTATCTTCAAGGTGAGAATAACAACTGTGAGAAGTTCATCATAGAGAATAGGGAAGAAACTAAGAGCTTTTCTTCGAGTCCTCACACCTTCCTTTTCTTTCCCAGTGCTTCTGCTTCCCACTACCTGCTCTGCAGCTGCTTGGTCTGTGGACACTCGGGCCTTTTTCAAGAGCTGTCGAAGTTTGTCCAGTTCCTCCTGGTGCGACTTGCGAATCTCATCCATCTCCTCCTCGGCCTGGCAGCGCTCTTGAGCTGACTTTTTTTTCCTTTCTGAGAGGTTCTTGGAAACAAGAAAAACACCATCAGCTCTATCCAGTTAACACAGGATAAGTGGGGATAGGGAAGGTGCTCTTGACCTTCATGAGTCTGTATTCCATTTCTGAAAATTGTTCATTTTTTAGTTTAGTTTTTCCCCTTAATATTTAACATTCTTAGCTACTGAGAGAAAAATTGTGATGAGAAGGCAAACAAGAGTTTTATCTACCACTCTATCAAGCATTAGGGAATATCCTAATAGTTAGAAACAATGTGTGATCCTGCCACATTGTTTTCTGTATGCATAAAACATACATACTCACTTAAACATACATATTTATGGGTGGCATTTAATTAGGAGCTTATGTTCAATGCTTTCTAAGAAAGTATTGTGGACATTGTGCTACATAGGAATGAAATCTTTCTCATTCTATTTAAACTATTGAGAGTATAGGAAAGCAGACTTCTCACACCTTGCCCATGGGAAAATAAATGTTTATGCTCTTTAGATGGCAATCCAAGGAAAAGTTTTCAAAAATATGCATATCCAGAAATTCCACAAATTTCATTTTATCTTAAAGTTGCAGTAAGTCATGTTCATAAAGACTATAGTAGTGTTTATAACAAGGAAAAACTGAAAACAGTCAAAAAATCAAAAGAAACAGTTTTTTAAAATGCCTAAACTGAAAAATCATAGAAGAAATTGTAAACATAGGCCAAGATCTTTTCCCTAAAAAGGAAATGGGCCAAAACAAACTTACTAGTGGCTTTACTGGTACCTCAGGAAAAGACTTTTTTCCTTCTATAGTTAGATTGTTCTAGAACACAATATGAGATAGAAATCTTTCCATTTTGTTCAGTGGGCCTAGTAGTTCCCTGATATTACAATTTTAACTAACAAAAGATAAGGAATAAACAAAGTTAAAAGAGAACAAACTGGAAAAATGTTTGTAATATTTTGACTGACAAAGAATTGATACCCTTAATAGGATTTACAAAGCAAAATAATGTTCTAATAGGAAAGATGGTAAAATGAAGGACATTAAAAAGAGAATTAACAGAAGAAATGCAAATAGGTATAAATATATGAAAGCTTTACTATTAATAAAAATACAGAGCAAACAAGATAGTATATTCCACCTGTGAGGCTAATAAAAGATTAGATAAAGTGGTGTCTGCAGAGTTGGGAGGAATGTGAAGAAATGGGCTCACTCACTTAGGGCTGGAAGAGTTTACAGCATACTGTTTTCTGAGAATAATCAATATTGATAAAAAATATTTGGATGTGCCACATTCCTACTGATCCCATATTCTAATTCAAGCAATTTATCCTTCAAGAACACCCTCGTAAATTCGCAAAGGTAGTTAGTAATTATACAGTAGGAGGATATGCACAAAGCTTAAAATAGTGAAAAAACAGAAACATACATTTGCTGATAGTAAATAATCATATACATTGTGGGACAGTCTCACAGTAACTACTATGTGGTAGTTTTACTATGTGTTAGTTTAAATAGAATGAGAAAGATCTCATTCTCATGTAGCATAATGTCCACAATACTTTCTTAGAAAGCATTGAACATAAGCTCTTATTTTAAATGCTACTTATATATGTATGTTTAAGTGAGTATGTATGTTTTATGCATACAGAAAGCAATGTGGCAGGATTACACATTGTTTACAGCTGTTACGTATAACACATGAGATGAGCCAGGGGACAAAGGCAACTTTTTTATTTTATACTTTTCTGTATTAATGTACTTGTTCTATTGGATACAAACTATTATAGTTTTTAAAAGGAAAATAAAAACAGATAAACAGCTCATCCTGGCCACCTGGACACAAGAGAGAAACTTGGCTTTTGGAACCTACCTTTTCCAGGGACTCTTTCTCAGCTCGTAAATCAGTCAGCTCCTCCTCCAGGGAGGTCACCTTGAGTTCCAGTTGCCTCCGGTTCTGCTTTTCACTTTTGAATTTGGACTGTGCTTGCTCTGAGGTTTCCTGGAGCTCTGGAATGTAAGAGCAGAGATACCTGGCTGTGGACCCTGAGCCACAGTGGGTGATGTGGCATTCCAGTAGTTCTTTCGAAGCTGCAGGCTTTGGTCTCCCCATCCCACCACACAAGCAGCCTCCTCTAACACCTCAGCATTACCACACTGACCTGTGGTATGAATTATCAAGCCACCAATCCACATTCACCTGGAGCGAGTTATATCTAACTCTCTCTCTCTCTCTCTCTCTCTCTGTCTCTCTCTCTCTCTCTCTCTCTCTCTCTCTATATATATATATATATATATATAAAATATATAAAAATATATATATAAATATATTCTCTCTATATGTATATATATTATCTCACCTTCTACAGATGTAGAATGAAAAAGAAATGTTCTAGTCAGGGACGACCTTCAAAACTGATCAGTCCTATAATTCCATTTCTGTCACCATCTTACCACACCAGACAGATGTTTGTTTAATATCTGTTCAAACTGCTTTTCATTGCCTAGGTAAGAAAGTCTGAACTTTCCTGGTAGGACACTCCACCAAAAGTTTGCTTTTAAAATATCCCTTCTCAAGTAAGGCTTTTGGATATTTTTTTAAGTTTATTACACCAAAATTTCTCTCTTTGAAAAACTTCTGAGACTCTACAGCTCCTGGGGAAACGGTCAAAGGGCAAGCACCACAAAAACAGAAATGAGATATTTGTATGATATTCAAATCTCAGATAGTCTAACATATTTGCTTTACTGGGCCCTGGTGATGCTCTAAAATGGAAGGGATGTATCTTCAAGGTATCGCTTTGCCAACTGACACCAGTGCTTTCTATCTATTAGGCAGTGTTCTGTGCTTCCATCCAACTCTGCTGTGGTTCCAGCTACCTGTTGCCTGGCAGTCCCATCTGTGCATTCCACACTGCTTTCTATACACCAAGGTAGATGTGTCCATGTGCTGGTCTTCACAAATCTATCCGATCACCATGTCCTGTGCACTACTTTTGTGCCAGGCACTGAACTAACGCTTTCTTGAGGAAAGAACTTTACAAAAATGAACAAAACACCATCCTTGCCCTCTAGGGGCTTGCATTCTGGATGGGAGAACAGACATATAAATGGTACTTATCAAAAGCTACCTATGGAAAATGGTTATAATAATGCATTAAAAGTTAAAAGATTTTAAAGGAAAATATTCCAAAAGAGGCAGAATAGAAGAGGACTGGAGGCAAAAACTGATGAAGGTGGGCAAACCAGGCCCAGAGAACAGCATGAATAAAGAGCAAGATGGAATGAGCTGAAAATAGCCAGCACGCTGGGGAATACGGTAGGACAAGGATGAACTGGGCAAGATAACGGAAGACGAGCCACACAGAGGGGCGTTAAATGTTAGGCTGAAGAGTTGCAACCCTCCTCTAGGAAGGAGGAACTAAAACAGGAAGCACACCTTTCTTAAATGTCCACTGAGTCATGAATTAAAAAGACACATTAATTCTTCTCGGCATATGAGGCCAGTATAAGCACCAAAGTTGTTGAAGCAACACTTCCTCAAACAAAGGGGAACGTGACAATTGATCAATTCCAAATTAAGAGTCAATCCTTCTGTTGTCCTTTATGTAAAATAATCATGTAGGTCATATACTTTACCTCGATTATGGACTCAGTCCTTCGCAAATCTCCTAAGCATTATGTTAACAGGACTGAGAGGAAGGAAAGAGTTCCATTTCTTAAGTTTAAGTGGCAAATAGTGCCAGCATCCCCGGCCAAGAACATACCTGAGAGCTCTGCCTGCAGTTTGGCAAGCTGGCCCCGAAGTAGACCAGCCTCCTTTGAGCTTTCTGTCAGCTGCATCTGCAGCTCTGTTTCCTTCTTTTGATGCGTAGTCATTTTCAGCTGCAGGTGAGAGACCTGTGCAGTGGCTGCTGCTAACTCTTCTGTCACCTTGGCCTGAATAGTAACAAAGGATGATGTCACTTAAAACAGAGGTGTTTTTTGTCTCCTTAAGAAATGACTAACCTCACAGGACTAGGCTGATTAAGCTGTAGAAAGGAAGGGAGCTAAGGCTACCCTCAACCTGCTTTACGCCCAAATCAAGACTTAAAAATGTGCAGTCTCTGACTCAATTCTCTTACAGAAATTTGCTCTTAAAAAATATCACCAAGACAGGGTATGGTGGCCCAGGACTGTAATCCCAGTGTCTTGAGAGGCTAAGGCAGGAGGACTGCGAGTTCAAAGCCAGCCTCAGCATATAGTGAGGCCCTAAGCACCTCGGTGAGACCCTGTCTCTAAATACACCACAAAAAAGGGCTGGGGATGTGGCTTGGTAGTTAAACACCCCTGAGTTCAATCCTTGGTATCAAAAAACAAAAAACAACAACAAAAAAAAATTACAAAAATTTTGCTCTAAAGCTGTTCAATGCAACATTGTTTAAAGTTGTAAAGGAATGGAAATCTAACATAAATTGCTGAAAACAAACTTGATTAAGCAAATTATGATATATCCATCCTGTATGAGGCTATTAAAAATGGTGTTTGAAAAGAATACTTGATGGCATGGAATACAGTTACAATCTATTGTTAAATGAAAAAGTAGATTCTCAAATAGTATGTTAGATATAATTCTGTTTTTATAAAATGAACACTTACTTATTCATGTGAAGAACAGTGCCAGAATAAAATGTTTTTCAGTTAATCTAGATAAAATGATGGGTGTTTTATATTTTCTTCTTATCAGATGATATATTTTATAAATGAGTCTCTTGAAAAGATGTTTCATAAGTAATTCTTTTGAAAATTTAATGTTTCTGCTGATCAAAATTTTAAAAGATATAAAAAGTAAACAACAAGAAGTCTTCCTATCCCTATTCACTTCTGCTTTGCTATGCAAGGGTAAAATATAAAAATTTATTTTGCATCTTTCCCCTTTGTGTAAAGTAACTCTTTTTACAAAAACTAATATGATTCTTTCCTCCTTTTTTCATACAAAAGAGAGGGCAAACTACATATATTCTCTACTAGTACATATAGATCTTTCTCCTTTGACTTTTTATTTTTTTTAATTTGTCAATAGACCTTTATTTTATTTATTTATTTATGTGCAGTGCTGAGAATCAAATTCAGTGCCTCACACATGCTAGGCAAGTACTCCACCACTGAGCCACAAACCCAGCCCTCATTTTTCTTTTTTTTTTTTTTTTTAAAATATCTGTATGGTATTCTACCATGTGAATATACTGTAGTTTATTCACTACTGCAGGACACTTGGTTGTTTCCAGTCTTTTCCCATTACACAAGATACCAATGAATAATCCTGAACACATGTCATTTCATTTGGGTACAGGAGTGCCTTTAGGGGATTCCCAGATGCAGAACTGCAAGATCATAGAATAAATACTGTTATAATTTTGTACAATATCATCAGTTCCCCTCCATGAGCCACTCTACATGCTTACCTGTCTCACCAAACCTTGTCAAAAATTTGAATTTCTACAAATCTGAGAAATGAAAAATGGTGTTCATGCTATTATCTAACTTTTCTAGGATGAACATGCATTTTCTTAGAAAGAAAAGGATACTTTAAAAATCTAAATTGAATACCTTCAAAAGCATTCAACTTCTGAGTCTACAATTCCTCCTAGGAACACTTTAACTTCCCTGATTTCTTCAAGTATTTTAAATGGGGCTCTATATTAGCCAAACATGGACCAAGCCTATAAAGAATCTAAATACTCTTGAGCAACATGTGATGAAATGGAAATGACCATCCTGGAAAACTCTCTAATGCTATTCTGAATATTAAGGTTGATGATAACAATGATGATAAAAAGGATGGTCAATAAAAAAGAAACAGCCAACAAAGGACAGATACCACATCACTTCACCTGAACTGATTTGTTCTTACAACATACAGGGGACATCAGATGGGCATGAAAGGCGGTGAGTGGTTGATCTTGGGCAACCAGTCTTGATTTCTGTACATCTATGCATTTCTGCACGTTTTCTATTAGACCATCTCTCTCATAATATTATATTGCTACCACTTTTACTACTCCTATGTTACTACACTTTATACACATTTTTGCAGTTGTCTACTTTCTTATTATCATTTGTGCCTTCTTTCAGTGTTCACTGTGCCCACCTGTTTTAAAAGTGCTTATTCCTTGACTTATCCCAAAATCTTTACCAGCTTTCTAGCTCCCATTTAAAATATGACATTCTGACTTTCCTAAAGGCAAGGGAAATAAAACAAAACTGTATATGAAATTTTAAAAGGCTATGAATGAGCATTTCAGAGCACATATAACCTTTAGAGTAAGCTCAAGATACTTAATTTTGCTTTTTGGACGCCATGTGAAACTCAACCTGTAAAACTCAGCCATGAAGAAAAATGACATTATGACATTTGCTGGTAAATGGATGGAACTGAGACAATGCTAAGTGAAATAGGCCAGTCCCAAAAAGTTGAAGGTCAAATGTAGAAAGAAGCTAATCCAAAATGGGAAGGAGGAGAGATTAAAAAAATAAAAAATAAGAAATAAAAAGGAAAAAAAAGGGGGGGAAGGAATTTCATCAAAACAGAGGAAAGACCAGTAGAGTAGATGAGGAGGGAAGAAGAGATGGGAAAAGGGAAGAGCAGTGGAATGATGACTGAACTTTAGTGTGTGCATGGATGTGGCGGGTGGGTCCAGCATCGGGTGTATCCACAGGACACTAATTAAAAACAAAAAAAGTAAACTGTAAATGGATTCAAGAAATGGATTCAAAAGGGATTGGTGGAGGGGAGGAAGGACTGAATCAGAGCAGATTGGGTTCATGCTTTGGTGATTATGTCAAGATGGATCCTGGTATTGTACCATAACTACAAAGAATTTTTTTTTTATAGGAGAGGGAAAAAAAAACCCACAGATGACAATGGCATCTAGAACTCCCAGATGTAAGAGTTGTTTTCATTTGCAGCATGTACAATTAAGTTTCACTTGCTGGCCCATGAAAACTGAAGAGACACAGAGTCCAGAGGCACTGCATCTATTCACGGCTCAAAGAGTTCACTAATATCAGAGCAAGTATCACTCTCACAAGACCTTGCAGCAGCTAGAACCTGTGGGAGGGACAAATTTCAGAAAAGAGGCCATGGAAGGGATAGTTGCTGTCTTGCCAAAGGACAAGCAGAGTGGAAGGTCATGCAAATACTTTTTTTCTCTCAAGTTTTTAGCTAGAAAATCCTACTAGAAACAAAAAAAAATTAATACTTTCACCCAAAAACATATGCACATGACAAAGAGAACTATAATATATTAATAATGGTTATGTTTGAGTGGAAGGATTATGAGTGATTCACATTTTATATTTGCTTATCTATATTTCCTAAGTTTTCTGGAATGAACAGATGCAACTTTTATTATTAGACAAAAAGTATATGTAGATACCTGTGTTATGTAATGTGTGTGTGTGTGTGTGTGTGTGTGTGTGTGTGTATTTACATGTTATGGTTTGAGTATGAGGCATTCCCAAAAGTTCCTGTGTTAAGGCAAGATTAGATCATGAGACCTGTGACCTAATCAGTCCATCCCAGTTTGAATGAACTAACTGGGTTATAACTACAGGCAGGTGGGGCTTGGCTGAAGGAAGTGGGTCATTGGGGGAATGTCATGGAAGGGTGCATCTTCCTTGCAGCCTCTCCCCTGGCCTCCCCACTTCCCCTTGCTTCCTAGCTGCCATGATTGGAACAGCTCTCCTCTGCCACACTCTCTGCCATGACATTCTGCCTCACTTGGGGCCAGAGAGATGGAGTTGGCCAACCATGGACTGAACCTCTGAAACCATGAGCCAAAACAAACTTCTCTTCTTCTAAGTTGTTCTTGCCAGGTATTTTGGTTGCAGAAACAAAAAGCTGACTAACACATTGTATATATAATTACACTTTTAAAAACGTCAGGAGAAGCAATATCAAGTGAGAAAGGAAAACCACAGACACCTACGCAGTGGATGGGATGGCTCCCTGATTCCCACCCTGGACCGAATTCCGCTGCTGGTGTGGAGAGCTGGGAAAGAGAAATGACAGCAAGAACCAAGAGCTGAGAAAAACAGTAGAAAAGCATTCAAGTTAGAAGAGGAAAACAGTCCTGGAGAGAGAGGGCAATCTGGCATAGGAAAAACGACATAACTGACTGGGAGGGAGATCCTGAATAAGTCTTACCCTCTCTGGGCCTCAGTTTGTCCCCTTGTAACTAAGAAGATTTAACTAGAAGACCTGCAATAGGTCTTCTGGTTTTAACCATTATTCCATGTTTTACGTGAACTCTACTATAGAGAAAAATAATGTATTTATTCATTAATCACTTAACCATATCTTTTGAGCTGTGTTTGAAGGTAGAGAACTGCATCCAGGGGTGAAAGGAAATTGATTATCTCTATTTAAGAGGAGAGATTGCTGGGTGACTCAATTAAAGGAAAAAAACCAAAAAACGGGTGAATCAAGACTTAAAAAGTTTCACTGAAATAATAGTGACCATGAGAAGCCTGTGGTACCTGAAACCCTAGTCAGATACCCTAATCATCAAGAACAATGACACTTAGCTCAGGAGATTCCCTCAAATACATCCGAGTAAAGTATGGGACCTAGAGCCTAGTGGATATTTGCCAGGTGTTAGCTGTGCCCCCTGTTGTTATGACTACTACTGTTTTTGCTACTATAAATAGACATTTACTGGGTTCAATACACTGTCCCAGACATCTTTGAGGCTTAGCAACATGAAAACACTTGGGCAGATTAACAAGCTTATTCAGGGCTCAGAGGACTATGTATGACCTGTAGGTCAAACTGGCCTACTGCCTGTTTTTGCAGATAAAGTTTTATTGGAATACACACACACATACACACATACAACTGATGTTCAATATGAGTCGTGAGTCGTGTGTTGAATTTTTTTTTAGTAATATCTGGACACAATACCTTTATTTAATTTTATGTGGTGCTGAGAATCAAACCCAGGACCTCAAATGTGCTAGGCAAGTGCTCTACCACTGAGCCCCAGCCCCAGTCCCATGAGTTGAATTCTGAAAAGCAAAGGCAGTCCAGAAGCCAGGTGTGAGGGCACATGCCTGTAATCCCAGCTACTTGGGAAGCTGAGGCAAAAGGATCACTTGACCCCATGAGTCTGTTTGACATCAGTGTGGGCAACATAGTGAGATCTTGAAAAACAAAAACAAAAGCAAGCCATGTGCAGTGGAGCACACCTGTAATCCCAGCAACTTGGGAGGCTGAGGCAGGAGGATCATAAGTTTGAGGCCAGCCTCAGCAATTTAGCAAGGTCCTAAGCAAATTAGTGAGACCTCATCTCAAAACAAATAAAAAGGGTCCTGAAGATACAGCTCAGTGGTAAAGTGACACTGGAGTCAATCCCTAATACCAAAAAACAAACAAAAACCAAAACAAAATTTATGCAGCTACCACTTCCAGAGTCTGTGACAAAAGAAGTGAAACCTGACCTGGATAGAAAAGTTATGGATAACTCTTTTTTAAAAAAGTCCAATCTTGGCTGGATATGCTAAATTAGAATTTCTGGAGGTAGGTCTTAAGAATGTGTCATTCTAATAAAGCTCCCCAAGTGATTCTGAAGCAGCCAGCACACTGGAGAGCCATTTTTTTCTAGAACAAGTTATAGTAACCATTTTTTCCCTGAACAGTAATAGTGAAGACAAACAAGATATTTTGGATGTCCATGTTGGGCCTAAAGGAGGAGTAAAAAAAGAAAATAATAGAAGGAAGAAGAAAAGGGAAATAAAAAAATAAAAGCAGTGAAAGGATAAACAGTACAAAGTACAAGGTGAAGTGATTCCAGTACCACCTGATATGAATGCCACAGGTTGCCCACTGGATCTAGGCATTAACAGGTTGCCCACTGGATCTAGGTATCAGCCACAGCAAACAAGGGAGGTAGCAAAGGAGCACCCGAACTGGATAGGGCTGTGCAGGGCAAGGCACTGCTTATCTGAGGAGGAGGAGGGGTCAAAGACCTGGGTACTGTGGCTACACACACACAAAGATTAGTATAAGACATTAATGAAGGAATCTTTATCATTATCAAAATACGAGAAAGTAAGTGAACTCCACAAGTTATAAAGTGCATTCCCAGCATTTCATATTTTTAAGGAAAACTCAAATATAAATAAAAATTTATTTCTTAAAACCTGTGAGAAAAATAGAAAAAAGGGGGGGGGATGAGCTCTCCTAGCATAGAAGTGATGTCCCAAATAAGAAGGATAAAATGTGTCACTGGAGAAAAGAGGCTGGGTCCCAGAATCAGTCGATTCCAACCCAAGACCAACTAGGGTCCTCCATGCTACTCCAGAAACAAGTCAAAATTCCTCATTCTGAAAGAAGTGAAGTCACAGCAGTACTTTGCAATGCAAAATGAGAGGAAGGAGCAAGCTGAACACACAGGAAGGAGCAAGTAGACAGTCTCCAATCCATTAAATACCACCTACACATTTGTTACCTGGCATTACAGGAATTTTCTGTTGATCCTTTAAAGAATAAATTTAGTCTCTTTCTCTCTCTCCCTCTTCTCTCCTCCTCCCTCCCTCTCCCTCCTTACCTCCCCACTGTCTTTTCTTTCTCTCTTTTTGGCACCAAGGATTGAACCCAGAATGTTTTGCCATTGAGCTTCATCCCAGTCACTAAGTTGCCAAGTTGCTGGCCTTGAATTTGTGACCCCACTGCTTCAGCCTCCTGAGTAACTGGGATTATAGGTATGAGCCACCATGCCCAGCTTAAATTTAGTTTTTAACAAGTTGTGTAATGCTTACCTTAATCAAATCACTAAGAAGTGATTGTTTTTTTGTTTTGTTTTGTTTGAGACAGGATCTTGTTATGTTGTCTAGGCAGGCCTCAAACTCCTGAGCTCAAGGCCAGCCTCCCTAGCAACTGGGACAATAGGCATCTGTCACCACCTGGCCAATAACTGTTTCTGAGTCAACTTATTGCAAAGCACATTATAAAACAGAAATGCAGATGATGACTGTATGATAATCTGTTGGAAGATTTTTAGTTCTCTTCCCCAAAATGGCGAATATTCTGCTGAGAAGCTGCCTGGTAAATACCTACTCTGGGCCACTCCTCAGCTCAACACATCCCAACCTGGGCTTTTCTCTGCTCAGTTAATTTACCTTCTCTTGTTCAGCATGCAATACCCTTGCCTGTGTGTTTTCTGTGGCTGTTTGAAGTGAGTTGTTCCTCTTCTCCATCATCAGGTTACTCTGCTCAACATACCTGTGATAGAAATAAGGAAAAGGAAACATTTATGAAGCACTGAACATATGTCAGGCACAACCCAAAGCACATTCAGTCCTGCTCCTTCATCATAAACAATATGATACATTTTATTTTCCTTAGATCTGCAGTAATCCGTTGGAGGCAGCAACAAACTGGGCCAGAGGTGAATTGCTCTGAATAATGAAGAGGAGAGGAATTTGAAGAGTATGCAGAAATGGGGAATGAGGACAGAAAGAGACAAGATAAGGAGGCTACAAGAAAGAGAAGAAAAGAAAGGCACTCTTCTAACCCTGGCACTTGCTTCCAACCCAGCAAGCAACACTGGAAAAGAGAAATACAGGAGGATTTTTTTTTTTTTAAGTGAAATGCTGTGTTGTAACATATTCTCCTAGCTCCCCTCCCCCACCAATCCTCAGAAGGATCCATAAAAATTATAAAATGCTTGGGTTTTTTAAGGAAATCAGTGAGCTACTGGTTCAGTTCTGGTTGATAAAACAGAGTCAGCCTGCATGGAAGAGAGAAAAGTTGACGTCAGAGTTTTCTAAATATTAACACCACTTTACAGATGAGGAAACCAGGGCCCACAAGAATAAACAAAATGCCCAAAGTTACACAATAAATGAGGGCAGAGACAGAAGCCAAACAGGTCTGTTTTATTTACCTCAGAGCCCACTGAGTTCTTTCTATTGAAAAAGAAAACTGGTAATAATCCATAGGACAGGCAGGAAACAAATAGAAGAAATAAGGCCGGGGGTGTGGGTCAGTGCTACAGTGTGTGCATAACAAGAGCAAGGCCCTGAGTTCAGTCCCCAGCCAGCATTATCAAAAATACTGTCCTAAATAAACATGTGTATTAAATTGGGCGTTTATACATTAAATCCTTTTGTCCATCCTAGCCAGGCCCCGTACCTGTCATTACCTCTGATTCCGTTCAATTAGTTCACTAATCTTGTCATTCTGTTCTTCTATCCGACTGCTCCTCTCAAGTAGCTCTTGCTTCAATCTTTCATTCTCCTACATTCAAAATGTATGATGTACAAGGTAAATATTAGAAAAGTGCCCCGGTAAAAGGGAATCACCCTGAACAGACAGGTGACATTGATGACACATTTTGAGATGAAAAGCTAGAACCCATATCCACTCAGACATACTAATATTTAAAAGAACACATCAAATTATATCCAATGTATACAAATAACTCCAATAGTTTAGATTATAAATGACTAAAAATGAGGAAAATTCTGAAATGGGGCCAAAAGCATTGTTTCCTTTTGAATCTTAGAAAGTAGAAGTCACTTGGACCAAATTAAGCCACAATGGATTCTCCAGAGTTTCCTAAACCAGTGTAGCACTTATTGCATGCTGGGATGCAGGTTTTAGACAGCACATCTTGGGAGAAAGCATGGGTGGGACCTCCAGGAGTGTTTGTTTCCAAGCAGCCTCACCTGAACGATTCTCTGAATGTTGCTCATGATCATGCTTGTTTCCATCGTCACTGACAGGCTGGGAATAAGCATGGAATTGCCAGCACCATGCTTCTGTAACTCTTCTACCTAAAAAATGCCAGAAAGAGTGCATCAGAATGCTAAAAATAGAGAAATATAATTTACTCAAGATCTCACCACTTTTTTGAACATGTTTCTGAGATAACCTTAAATGTGAACAAGTTTTTCCTGCTAACTGGATCCCAAATAAAGATAATTACCCTTCCAGGAAAAGAACTAGTATCTACCATGAATACAGGAAAATTTACCTTCAGCTCTAGTTACTCCCTGTTTATACCCCACTTGTACCCCCACTTTCAACCTAAACTCAACCCTGATTTGGTCACCTTAGTCATGAGATGATCCACTTTATCAGCCACTTTGCTTACTGCCATTCGAATCTCAGTGTTATGTTGCCGGGCTTCGGTCATAAGAAATGAAGCCATGTCACCTGATCCTAAACAGACACAAAGAAGCCCAAAAGAAACTTATGGGGAGACAGGCATGTAACCAAATCATTATAACAGAGTTCTTTCAATGCAAAAAAAAAAAAAAAAAAAAATGGACTATATACAATGTACAAAAGTGCACTTTAAAAAGCAAGATTATTCTTTGGTAATATTTATATTCAGTTATGCCCCTGAAGAAGAGAGGTGAATACCATCAGAGAAGGCTTCATAGAGGAGATGACAGTTTTGACATGTGAAAAAGGGTTTCCCATATGGAGAAGGGAAATGGCTCCTAGACAAGATCTGTACCCAGGAAGCTCTTACCATTCTGGAATCACAAGTTATATTGCAGGATATATTTGCTTCCTCCTACCACTGTCTTAATACCCAGATGCTTACTAGGCAAAAGACAAATGGCAGTGGGACATGATGACACATGCCTATAATTCCAGCTACTTCTTGAGGCTAAAGCAGGAGGATCACAAATAAGTTGGAGGCCAGCCTCAGCAACTTAGTGAGACCCAGTCACACAAAAAAAGGACTGGGAATATAGCTCAGGTATAGCTACAAGGTCCAATCCCCAGTAGAGACAAAAAAAAAAAAAAGACAAACTGAAGAACAGGGCAAGATACCGTCACATCTGTTTATAGTTCGTTGTGCTTTATTTGTTCACACAAGACACCCACACCTGTACATACATACAAAATACCTGAAAAGCTACCCAAGTAATTGTTAGTTAACATTGGTTTCCTATAGCCAGGGGGATTTAATGATTGGAAAGAACAGTAACTTTTTACTTAATACCTTTTTGTACTGTTTGACACTTTTATAAAAGTATATGTGTGTGTATGTGCGTGTGTGTGTGGGTGTGTGTGTGTGTGTACACACATACATATTTTTTGTACCAGGGATTGATCCTAGGGGTGCTTAACCACTGAGCCACATCCCCAGCCCTTTTTTTAATATATATTTTACTTAGAAACAAGATTTTACTGAATTGCTTAGGACCTCACTCAATTGCTGAGGACCTCACTAAGTTGCTGAGGTTGGCTTTGAACTTTCGATCCTCCAGTCACAGACTTTAGAGCCATGGGGATTACAGGTGTGCATGACCATGCCTGGCTAAAAGTATATTATTTTGATAATTTAAAAGTTACCGAAGTAGGTTTCACTTGAGTTACTGAACACCCACAAGCAGGCATCATGCTTTCTCCCCGTTTCCTCCTGTGTTTGCTCTTTTACTGTTTTCTACAAACTCTAGCCACTCTAACAGCAATTAGAAGGGCTGGTGGGAGAAAATGCAAGAAAAAAACACAGGAAGTGGGCCTGAGGGGACTTTCTGGAGATGAAGGTAATGTTCAAAAAGTGAACTGGGCAGGTGGGGCTGGGGTTGTGGCTCTTCCTGGCACATGAAAGGCACTGGGTTCAATCCTCAGTACCACATAAAAATAAATAACAGTATTATGTCCATCTACAACTAAAAATATATATATATATTTTGTGTGTGTGTGTGTGTGTGTGTGTGTGTGTATGTGTGTGGTGCTGGGGATTGAAACCAGGGCATAAAAATAATAATAATAAAAAACAAAAAAAGACTGTGGTGATAGATGCACAACTCTGAAAACATCTTCAAAAAATCTTTAAATTGTACACTTAAAATAAATGAATTGCATGGTATATAAATAACACCTCAGCAAAGCTGCTAAAAAGGGAAGAGAAAAGAAAGGGTAGAAGGCTGTTGGAGTGAAAATGAAAACAGAATGCAAACAAGGAGAACATGGAGCATGGTGGGGCAGAAGATGAGACACAGGAAACAGCTCCCTACCTTGAAAGTGGGGAACCTGGGACAGTGGTGCTGGATACAAGGGTCGAACAGGCTGCAGCTGGGAGGTGACTGAGGATGCCTGGGGATATGTGTAGGCTTGCATACCTGCATAGGGCTGAGAAAGGGCCAAGTTACTGCCGCTTTATGAAACATTCATGTCTTCTTTTTTTCCTTACAATTTCCTATGATTGGATAAAGATAAGCTGGGAAGAGACTCAAACTTATTGAAGCTGGAAATTAATGCAGTCAAGTTTAGACAGTGGGCAAGAATTGCAGCAGAGCTGTCTATGGAACCCAGTAGCCTCCATCCACAAATTGAGAGGTGAGTATCCTGGGTCATCACCCAGTCCTCTGTGATGATTGAAGAAAGTAGGAATTCTTTCCCCACCTTCAGGCCTATTGCTTAACAAATTTTAAAACTAAGCAAGCTCTTTTTAAGTTTTCGTTGAAGAAAAAGAAGTGTTCAAACCAAATCAGCCAACTTCCAAAGGATGCCTCTCCCCTGCTAGATTCTGATGCTCATCTGTGTGACCAAGAGCTCTCGTTTTCCTCTAAACCTCAGCTGAGAGATGAAGATAATAATATGACTTCACAAGGTTGTTATGTGGACTAAATGAAGTGATACAGGTAAAGTTCCTAACAGCTGGTAAATCAAGTGCCTCAATAAACAGCAGCTACCATTTTTTAATGAGGATAGTTATTCTTCCTCAAAAAAAGAAATCCAGCTCATTTCCGGGGATAGCTATGACTACTCACCCATTATTTAAACCAAAAAAAAATTTTTTTTCCTCTGTGAGATAGTAATTCTGCATTGAGGGGAGAATGGGATTTTTTTTTCAATTTTGATACTATCAATGCCACCCCTCTATTAAGAATCCCAAGGAAGTAGCCCCTATGTCACAGGGAGGCTATTTTATTCAAGTGTGCTGTGAAGAAAGGGTCTATATACAACCCCAGCAAACAGCAGAAGCAGACAGGCTATTGTCCCTGCCTTCTGTGATAACATAAGAAAATCTAGTTTAAGACATCACTTTTAGAGGCTCACTAGACAGCAGAGGCAAGAATATTTTCTGTACAGCTTCCACCTTAGCCCATAGACTTTCTGCTGAGCGCTGTGCACAATATTAGCGACCAACTCTTTGACAGAGGGCATGGATACACACCCCTTGAGGAGTGAAAAGGAGAGGAAACACACATTGCACCTTTGCCACATGCACTGATTGAACCTTTGCTACAAGTAGGCCCAGGCCCTGTACTGGTGTTTGGCTTGCTCTTGTACTGAATCTTCACAAGAAGGTGTAAGCAGGTAATTCTTTGGCCAGTTTAGAGAAGAAAAGGTTGTGAAAATAACAGCTTACAATTTCTATATTTTTAAAATGTTGTTACCTGAAAGGACTGGGCATTTCCAGACACAGTTGAATGGGAATCAAGAGATGCAACTTGCATTAAGGTAGCAGAGGGTGCTTGGAGCCCAGAAACAGATGCCTGAGGGGCTAAGATGAAGCAAGACATTTTCACTGTTAGCCACTCTTATTCTTGGTACAAAGGTGGACTAGTACCTTTCAGACCCCCATGCTTCAGACTTGACTACTTCCTCACCTAGTCTTCAAAAACAAACTCCACGGTATCCCAGAAATGGGCCAGTGGAAGGAAACTGGGTGTTCTCTTGTGTATTTGACTCAGACCTATGATCCCGTCAGCTGACAGGATGTACACAATAACACACGGGCAGATGTCTCAACAGCTGAGTGCACACTTCCAAAACTGATAATGCAATGCAGCACAAGTCACTAATAAGTAGGCCAAACACATCTCTGGGTCTGAAATGCCTTACCCATGGACCAAGAGACAAGAGTTACGCTCCATCTCGTTCAAAAACAATGCAGTCTAACTATTTAAGGAACTGTGATGATAATTTTCGTGCTGACCCAATTCAAGAGCACAGAGCCTCAGAGAAGTTGTATCTTACCCTGTGTAGTCATCTGTGGTAACGCTGGATGAGCAGGCTGAAGAGTGGGCCGTACGGATGGAGTCACCAGGGGCTGTCCAGCTCCTCGTTGGGTATTCACATCCTGAAATGGGCACGAGGTCTGATCATTACATGTGGGTCCTTAACTGAAGACTGAGGCTGACTGTTTGCCCTAAACCTGCTTCTAGCACAGGGTTTCCAGGCAAAGAAGAGGAAGGAAAGGCAAGCAGAAAGCCAGGAGCTGAGCATGTGTGTTGTGGGGAGGAAGCACTCAATTATGCAATAAAGGAAGAGCTCTTCTCCATGAAAATCAGCAAATAATTAAATCCAGTTAATTTCCACAAACATTCTATATTGTTGATATTTTAGTGTCTGAAGCAGCCAAACTGACAGCTCTGCAAAATGTATCATTTCTCAAAACAACAGCTACCTTGACTGATCTAGTCCACAACAGAGAGGTCGATTATGAGAAACCCCCAAACAATCCAGCCTCTCCTCTTCTGCCACATAATTTCCACAGGCCTCAAGCATCCAGTGAAAATTGTATAGAGTAGGATTCAATTGACCTTCCTTAACATGCTGGTTTGGGGTAATATAGTTTTACATTGTTTCCTCATTCTTTCTTTTTATAAAACCAAAGCTATAACTCTAAATGAAGTTATCTTACATCTCCCTGCTTCATACAAGGAATGAAAAATCGCAAAAACGACTGCAATGCTGTAGTTCATGGGCTGAAATCTCTTGGTCATTCTTTTACTTATAGAACTTCCTCTCACCCCCTGATAGCCTTCTGGAAAAGCATCCTGGTTTTAGATCATTACACCTCTAAATCAACCTAAATGCCTAATGCAGGAAAAAGGAATTAGGATAAATCAATATTGTAGAACTCTGGGTTACCTTTAAAGGCAATAATGCTTTGCTTTATTTATTTATATTATTGATATTAATAAAGATATTTATAACATTACATTAAAAAATCAGGTTGCAGGGGCTGAGGCTGTGCTCAGTGGTAGAGGACTCACCTAGCATGTGTAAGGCGCTAGGTATGATCCTCAGCACCACATAAAAGTAAATAAAGATATTGTGTACAACTACAACTAAAAAAAATTTTTTTAAATCAGGTTGCAAAGCAATTTATAAAGAATACCTTTTTGTTAAATGTGATTTTCTTTATAATTTTAAATTATTCTACCACAAATAAGTAGCACTTTAAATTTTTAATAAGAATATCATATTATTCAAATTTCATTTCCAGAAACCAAATAAACCATAAGAAACAATATTCCTCAGAATCCTCTCTTCTTTTAAAATGTTAAACTCTAAGTAAGAGCTTGCTCAGGAAAAAACAAAATTATAAAAAATAAAGCTTATTTCATACATTTTTTTCTTGAGCATCGTCTCTTCTTCATTTTACATCAAAGAGAAAGAATCCTAAAAATCAATCTCATGTATTTCAATTTAATTAGAAAGGATGGTTTTATTCAATAAGGAGCTTCACCACTGGGAAAAGAATTAATTTGAAATTAAGTTATTTCACATCATACACCAAATTCTAAGTAGACTAAAAATGCAAATCTAAATGTGAAAAAACAAACAGTTCTAAAAAATGTGATGTTTCTAATATCTGAAAGCCCTCTAACCATGTCAGAAGCAAAAAACAAGAAGAGAAAATTGATAGATATGATCTCAAAATTCTTGAACTTCTACATAGAAAAATACACAAATACCAAATACAAAGTCAAAAGAGTTAAGAGTTTGACAGTTAAATAATAGGCAGCTCCAATGGGAAGACCAACATTTCCCAAAAGTATCTAAACATTCAACTTACAAATATGAATTGAGCACCTGTTTTAGGTTAGGCATCCTTGAGCATCCCACTACCTAATGATGACTGATCTTGACAGACAACAGAGATTCTAGCAAATGAAGGCTAATTTAGCTACTTTACACTGCCCATATCTTGTGGAAGATATATGGAATTACTTCAATTCTCAGGGGAAGTATTAATCAGATTTGAAACATATGTACCAATGCCAATCTGTATCATTTTGCAGATAAACTCTCTTAAATATTCTGGATTAGAGGCCCAAAATGTAATCATTTCAACTAAAGGAACAAGATGGCAACATTTGTACTACTGGTTTCAATACAGCCAAGGGGACATACTTCAATTTCTGAGTCATTGGAATCCAGCTGTGGTGGAAGAATGGGCAGCATGGGTTGGCCCATTTTAGCCATCCGAGAGATCAACTTGGCCTTGACTGTATCAGGATTCTAAAAAGAAAAAGTCATATAAATCATTGTGATTAAGGTTTCTTACCTTCAGACGGCTCTATTTCTTTCATTCATTTTTTTTAGTTATACATAAATATAAAAGCATGAAATATAAATTTGCTCTAAGTTTCCAGTACTTCCTCTTTCCCTCCCCTCTTCCCTCCCCCTGTTCTCCTCCCTCCACTCTATTAATATTTCTAGGAAGCTCTATTTCTTTGGCTCTTACATCAAATCCTTTAACAAGTCCTCATCCTATATCTAATTTCCACTAGAAAATAAGAATCAAAGATGAGTATGTAAAAGCTTATAATAGTAAAAATCATTCCCTACATGTTTGTATGGACAGAATGACTTCATATGTATTACCTCTTTTTAATCAAGTCTCCTGATCAGGCACAATTACTGTCATTTTACAGATGAAAAACTAAGGCAGTGATATTAAGGGAGGGAGGCATTTTAGATGTTAGGACCCCTTCAAAAGTATGAAGCCATTCAATAGATAGATATTTGGAAAAGATTTATGGAAAACAGCAAATTAGGAGCTCTTTGTTCTAAATTCAGGCTCATTTAACCCTAACTTGGCTTGACTATATACTAGACCCTGTGCTAGATGCTTCAATATCCACTAACTGGCTCAAAGTACTGCCTTTATAATGGAGAGTATGTTCCCCTGAATCTATAAAAGATTATAGATTATTATAGATTATTTCCTCCTGGGGGAAGAAAGAAATCATCACAGCTTTCTCTTTTATTATTTTTCAGCCATAAACATCGAACATTGTTTGTTTACAGGAATTAATAGCACTTTTAAGTGTACATTCTGTTGTTAGACATACAGGATTGTGTGCTCATTTTTTCTTAACCAATGGAGGTACATAATTTTTTTAAGGTATCTAAGAATATTTACTGGTAAAGGGTAAGTGTTCAAAGATGAGCCAAGTTCCACTGCTGCCTTCAGCAAGTATATGCTTGACAGTTATAAATTCAGTGAGAAACCTATTCTACATAGACATAGGCAGGTGTTTATCAAAAATCTAACTAGGTTTAAATTCTGAAAGCAGAAATCCTTCAGATAAGTAAGCCTCCTGATACTTTTTCAATAAAAAAAAACTTCCAGCAGCTGGGTGCAGTGGCACACACCTGTAATCCCAGCAACTCAGGAGATTGAGGAAGGGGGATCACAAGTTCAAAGCCAGCCTTAGCAACTTATCGAGGCCCTATGCAATTTAGCAAGATCCTGTCTCAAAGAATAAAAAAATAAAAGGGACGGGGATATGGCTCAATGGTTAAGCACCCCTGGGTTCAATCCCCAGTACCAGAAAAACAAAACAAAACACCAAACAACAACAAATCCTTAATAGATGATGAAGACATGCATCTACTTGGCTCTGGGTGAAGCCAAAGTTCAAATTGCTCCCCTTCTCTAACATAGATTCTGAGTCTCTCGGCCTTTCCTTGGTGATGAATAGCAAGTAGCCCATTTCCCGAGATGCTCTTTAATAACAATCGCCCTGGTGTTTGAACTTGTAACTTTAAACACCTGTAATTAGGATTTGGAAGCTTCTGGAACCATGACCTTGACCCAGCCTCCCATAACAGTCTTTTTACTTTCTATTACACAACAAGACATGGCAATAAAAGCAACAAACCACTTCGGCTTTTTCACTTCTGCAGAAGCTAAAGCCACTTCTCCAATATATAAAGGAGCAGGAAAGTTAATTTCCTGGGAGAGAAATACTCAGCCTGGTCCTGGCATTTTAGTACCTAAGAAAGCCGAGATAAGTCCATTGATCAAAACTCCATGTACAATCGTTTTTCCAAACTTGGTTTAGCAAAGTCTCCATTTAAATGCAAAGGAATGACATCTCCATTAATTCTGAAAAGGCAGCCATGTCCCTCTGTATGAAGGCCCTGCTGAGTTCAACCCAGTCCCCAACCCTCACATGCACATGCTGCAGGAGCTGTCTGCTCCGCACTGGTTGATTCAGGCAGAATCTCCTTTAAGTCCACCTCACCAAAGGCAATAGCTGGATATTACTGGGAACATCTTTGGCATCCTCATATTTCACCCATGGGAGCTTCTACCCTGCTCTGTTTCAAACTATGCAGCCACCAAAAAGTACTTTTGAGAGTAAAGTTTCTGAAATTGAAGACTATTCAATCCAATACTAGTTCCCTACTATTACTAGATAACACAAGGAGAAATGGAGAAACCTGAATCACCCTGAAAACACACTTTTTGCCTGTCTAGGATCCTAATAGACCACTGAATAGACCACTGCTACATATTCAAGATGGCTAACAAGGTCTTCTCTTCATAGGTCAGGACATCCAGAGATAAGGCAGCACCAACCACTCCAAACAGATCCTTTAGGGTAGAAATAAGCAGCTCTTTGAACTGTGCAGCATTCAGACCAACTCCATGATCTTGAAATTCCAGGCAGACTTTCATGTAGTGGTACACAGAGGGATTTTTGTAAACTATTCTTTCATATGTGGTACCCAGTGCTGGCATCTTTTTCAGTGCTGATCACTGTCCTTCTGACTAGCTGCCCATCTGGCTAGCCTGATGTCCCTTCTGACTCCTGTTGGCTGCAAGGATTCCCTAAGGCTTGGTGCACCAACGTAGGAGCCAGAGCCTGGGTCCAGGAAATTCCTGGTGTGTTTATATTTTGCTGCTCCCTGACCTCAGATCGAGGTACATAGTTTAAAGTATGATACAATAAGAGAAGAGAGAAGACTAGTTATATAAACCATATCCACACAATGGAGTATTGTGATCTACATAATAAAAATAAATGAGGACGCCCTCTATGATACTATATGTAAAAAGCAAGGCACATAATATATATAGTATGCTATTTTGTGTATGAAAGAAGGGAGGAATAAAACATACATTTCCCTTTGGAAGAATATAAAAGAAGTTAGTAATAGCAGTTACCTAGGGGTATGAGATGGAATAGGGTAGATGGGAACAGGAATAGGAGTGAGTACTTGCAATGTGTATATCATATAGTGTTCCGCTAAGTTTGCCATATGAGTTACCTGTTCAAAACAAATACAAAAAAATGTAAATGTAAACATAAAAAAAAAGATGGTTAATTTTATCTTATGTAAATTTTGCCTCGATTCAAAAGAACAAAGTTATGTCAAGTGTGGTGGCAAAATCCTGTAATCCCAGCTACTCAGGAGGCTGAGGCAGGAGGATTGCCAAGTTCCATGCCTGTGTAGGCAATTTAGGGAGACCCTTTCTCAAAGTAAAAAACAGAACTATAAAGGGAATATATGTAGCTCAGTGATACAGTGCCCCTGAGTTCAATCCCTAAATACTGCAAAAAAAAAAAAAAAAATCCCACCAGAACAAAAGTACAAAAGACAGAAGAAAAAAAAAAAAGCTGGAGATCATTAGTCTACCAGAAGTTACTGAAGAAATAGGTAATGAATAGCTGTGGCTAGAGAATACAATGGAATCCACAATGGACAATTTTCATGACTGTTCAAACAGCTGAGATTGGGCTGGGGTTGTGGCTCATCGGTAGAGCACTCGCCTCACATGTGCGAGACCCTGGGTTCGATCCTCAGCACCACATAAAAATAAATAAGTGAAATAAAGGTATTGTGTCCAACTATAACTAAAAAATAAAAAAATATTAAAAAAAAAACAGCTGAGATTATGATTCCTTTTTTTTCTCCTGATTCTTTGGTTTAGGCTTCAGGTTTTATGAGATCACTGTTTACACATACTGTAACAACTATTTGCTTAATAATTTCTGCTTTGGGCTGAATATAAACAAGGGTTTGAGAGAACTGAAGTATCGACTTCACTCCAAGCACCTATTTTTCCCCAATGTCCTAGGTGAAGGCCGAAGGGCTTTAGGATTTGAAGTGCTTCAGCCACTATGTGGCCACTTGCAGCACACTCAGAAGCCCCCCCCAACCAGGCAGGGCAGAGCATACTACCCTATGTGCCCTTCCTGAGGGCATTTGAATCCACACTTTACTGAAATAGGGTGCTGGTCCTCTCAAATACACAAAGGCCAAGCACCTACTTAAAGACAACAGATCTGTGATGAGTCCCAAATTACTCTGAAAGAATTAAATATGAAGATATAGTCACAGCAACTTCAGAGACTAAGGCAGGAGGATCACAAGTGACATGTTTATTGACCTGTTACAGTATGCTATACACACATTAAAGCATTAAGCATTATTTTATTTAAAAATCATAAAAATCTCCAAGATTGGCAGTATCTTCATTTTACAGAGAAGGAAATAAACCTGAAGTTTAGAGAAGCTAAGTTGCTTAAGGTAACAGAAAGTAAGTAGCAGAGAAAGCCTATCATTAACCACTAATATATTCCTCTTTGAATAATGGTATTTTTTATTGCTCCAAATTTCTTTATTTTAAACTCATTGAAAGAAATACAATTATCTTTTTAAAATAGAGTAATCTCACAATTGAAAGCCAAGAACAAAAAGAACAATTTAGTAACTTTTTTCTGAGAGGCAGATCTAATTAGCTGTAAAATGGACTTTCCCTTTCCTAACTTTTGTCAAACAAAAAATTGTTTTTCCTATTTCTAAGGCATCAAAAAGCACTCTGAATGCTAAACAAGTTATTCAGGTACAAAGTTTCAGGCCTCTAACAGGGATTAAGAAACATCAAAGACTGCTACAAATTTCTTTCTTTTAATGTCAAATTGTACATATTTCTACTTTTTATATAAATCTGAGAATGTCACGCTCATAAACCAAATTTCAAAAATCTGGTCCTATTTGAGTAAAATCTTACTACTTCTTAGTAAGAATGTCCTAAGTATTTGAGTTGGCATCCCAGCGACTGAAAGGGACCAGACATATGAAGAGCTGATCTGCTCAAATGCTGCCAATACTATTCAAAAAGCACCCATCCCAGGAGACTTGGATCAGTTGGAAATTTATACTACAGCTTAATTCCTAAACCACAGACCTGCCCACAAAGCAGATCAAATCCTAATGGTTCATAAGTAAGACAGAGAAAAGTCGCTTTTTAATTCCCAAAGCTCTAAACTTGTTCATTCCCATAGATCATTTTACATTGATAAATCTATCATACTAAAAACTTTCATTTTTTAACCACTTCAGTAAGATAGACAAGAGAATTGTTAGCATTTTCATTCTATGCATAATTGCTTATCTGTGTTAAAGTTTTGATTCACACAGGTAATAGGAAAGCTTGAATCAATTTTTTTTAGAAGTTAATGATGGTATTTCCAAAATTGAAGTGTACTTTAACCAATGGCCCCTCCCCTAATCTAATGTCATTCTAATAATAATCATAGCTACCATTCTTAAAGATATGTTTCACATAGGTTCTGAGCTCAGAGCTTTACAAATATCTGTAGTCCTCGAAAGAACTATACAGGAGGCTACGAAAATTATTTCCATTTTCATAATAAAAAAGCTCAGGATGAAAGGATTTAAATATTTTTTAGGATCCCATGCTTATAAGAATCAATTTTTTCTTTTTTCCCCCACACTTTTATTGCTGCATTACAGTTATATATAATAAATATGTATAGTGTGGGATTTGTTGTTATATATTCATACATGCACACAATATAACAATATAATTTGACCAACATCATCAATACCTAGAATTTTCCCTTCCATCCCTCCTCACCTCCCATTTCTGGTCCCTTTCCTCTATTATACTGATCTCCCTTCAATTTTTATGATTCCCTACTACCACCTTTCTTTTCCTTTCCCTCTCTAGCTTCCATATATGGGAAAAAACATATGACTCTTGACCTTCTGAATTTGGCTTATTTCACTTAAAATAATGGTTCTATCCATTCTCCTGCAAATAACATAATTTCATTTTTCTTTATAGATGAATAAAACTCTATTGTGTGTGTGTGTATTTCTTTATTTTAAATTAACTGAAAGAAATAAAATTGTATTTAAAAAATAGGGATATAGATAGATACACACACACACAATCTTTCTCCATCCATTCATCTGTTGATAGACAGATAGGCTAATTCCATGGTTTGACTATTATGAATTGTTCTGCTATAAACATGGGTATGCATGTATCATTATAGTATGATGACTTTAACTCTTTAGGATACATACTGAGGAGTGGTATAGATGGGTCATATGGTGGTTCCATATCTAGTCTTTTGAGGAACCTCCACACTGGCTGCACTAATTTGTAATCCCATCAACAGTGTGAAAGTGAGGAACCAAGATTTTAACTTAGGTCTGTCTTTGCAAAATCCCAAGCTAACTTACACTGACTTCCAAATAGGAGGAAATGAATAAAATAACCAATTTCAAACCAAAATCAAGGATTCACAACACTTTTTTCCCCTCCAACCTAGAAAACACTAGGCACATGAAAAATGACAGTGTTTTATAAGTCTACAGGTCATGATATTCTATTATGTGAATATGGTTGATATCACTAGTCCTCTCTCCTCTCTTAATGTATCAAACTTTTTTAAAATATGTACCTCCATTAGTTCCAAGAAAATGAGCACATAATCCTGAATATGTCTATCAACAGAGTATACACATAAAAGTACTATTAGTTCCTGTAAACAAATTAATGTATGATGTTTATAGCTGAAAAATAATAAAAGAGAAGGTTATGACTATTTCTTTCTTCTCCCAGGAGATCATCTTGTGTACCTTCAGGGGTATGAACTCTCTATTCTGAAGACAGTGCTTTGGATCTGTTAGTACAAACAAAGGCTTCTATCACAGGGTCTATGTATAATCAATGCCAAGTCAGAGTTAAATGGGCCTGACTCAGCACTGACATCCTAGAAATATGAAACCTCTACATGTGGGGGTTGAGGAAGATAAACTCTTTTACTTACTGTATTTATTGTAAGCTGTTCGCTGAGGGAGTTAGATTTGGTATGAAGAGCTGGCTCCCTGAAAGCAAAGAAAACATATGCTAAGATAAAAACAAAATCTATAATCACAAACCCAGATTATACTGGACAATCAAACTGTTTTTGAAAATGTTTGCCAACCTAACAGCTATAAAACAGAATTTTAAGCTAAGTATAACGGCACACGCCTATAATCCCAGTAACTCGTGGCGGGGTTGGGGTGGGTGGATGTTAAGACAGGGGGATCACAAGTTCAAGACCAGCCTGGGGAACTCAGTGAGATTCTGTCTCAAAAATAAAAAACGCTGGTGATGTAGCTCAGTAGTAGAATGCCCCTGGGTTTAATCACCAATATTGAAAACAACCCAGAATTGTAGCTCTTCTTTAGTTTGCATCATCTTTGAATGCTAGTGAAGATGAACAACTTCCCATTCAAATATTTATTATTTACATTTTTTCCCATGAGTATATGTTTTGTATTTATACCCCTTGCTCAATTTTCCTTCCAGGGTTTTGCAGGTATCATTATCTATGTGATTTAGTACTTCTACACTAAGGGGTACATATTCTCCATTCTGAAGACAGAAAATATATATATGTACATGGTATGTATTATATATATATTATATTCTATGACTATTAATACTTTGTTAGAAAATCTAATGCAAATTCTTTCCCTATTTCCCTGATCCCATTTGTTCAATTATTTTAAAGTATTATAGTTTTTAACTATGTCCCTGTATCTGAACTTCTCTAGGAATCATTTTTACGAACACTAAAAGAGCTTGATTCAACCCTAGTGTCTTACGCTGATTTGAAAGGCACCGATGTGTGTGGTGACACAACAGGATCAGCAGAAAGGTTGTCAGCACCAGGTATGGGAGAAGGAGCTGCAGAATCCCGGGAACTAACACTGTGCCCATCAGAGCCAGAATCTCTGGCAAACTTCACCTAGGAAAGAACCAGCAAAGATGGAACAGGCTGCAGATCTTTTCCCCTCCACACACCTCTCATTTTTCTTATTCCTCAACACACAAGCCATCACCTGTTCATTATAGGCAAATCAGAAAATTTAGAAAAAAAGAAAAAGATAAAGTCACATTATCAACATATGTATATATTTACATTAGTATGCACATATATATGTCATATATGCATTTATATGTTCAGTACAAGAAGCAAGTTACAGAGGAATGTGGATGGTGACATACATGAGATTAGACCTCCCATACTCCTCTGTAACTTGCTTCTTGAATTTAACAATAGATTTTGGCTGTTTTTTTTTAAAAAGTCCCATAAAAAGTCTATTCTGTGAAAAAAGTAAAAAAACAACCCTACAATTTAACCAATCTTTTAATGACACTTAGGTGGTTTCCAGTTTTTTATTATTACAACCATGTGTTAGAATAAGGAATATATATATATATATATATATATGCATACTCATGTAAATATATACATATATTTATAAGATAAATTTGTAGCCACTGAATCACTAAGTCAAAAGGTATGTACATAGGACAGGAACCATTATTTTATGGACAAAGAAGCTTAGTGTGGAAAAGTCATTTACTCAAAGTCACACCTCTCTAGACTTTGGATAGAGGGCCAGAAGAACATAAACCTTAATCTTTAGATTCCAAAGCTATTGTTCTTTTTTTTCTCTTTATTTTGTTTATTTATTTTTATGTGGTGCTGAGGATTGAACCTAGTGCCTTACACATACTAAGTGAGCATTCTACCACTGAGGTACAACCCCAGCCCTCAACTTGCTTTTTTTAAAATTTTTTTTTAGTTGTAGATGAACACACAGTATCTTTATTTATTTTTATGTGGTGCTGACGATCAAACCCAGTGCAGAGCTATTGTTCTTTACAGCTATTTCATTTCTACTTTTCAAAAGAAATATGTTTCTTCAGAACCTTTAAACATATTCATTTAGTTATTCATCTTATTTAATAGATAAGATTATTTAATAGAGGGCTTGTCAAACACAATACAGAACAGTTTAACTCACCCGCTTAAGCTCCACTTCAAACACCAGGATTGAGTCCATGGACTGAGTCCAGCCTATTACTCCTTCAGAGCCAGCAGCACAGGCTGGAGGGATGAAAAGCAATCTCCTTCCTCCTTTTCTCATTCCCAGCATTCCATCCTCCCAGCCCTTTAGAAATAAAAGATGGGGAAAAGCTCATCAGACAAGAAACTCCTTATAAAAGACAAAGTGAAGTACAGGAGAATCAGATTTCACTTATCCACTTTCAGGTTTAGGCTATGCTTCTAGAGGTCAAGTTCAACTATCCTCCATGTTGGTTATAAAAATATCTAGAATATAGCTTCTAAAATTATTAGTGAAAGTTGGCATATCTGGGGTTGGGTGAAATACTCTTATCTTAGAAGCTAAGAGAAAAATGGGAAGAATTAAATAGCAATAAGTGAGAAATAAAAGTTATTACTTATATATAAAGTATGTTTTTCTAGGTACTGTGATTGTTTTACATGCATTATTTTGTTTATTCTCCCAAGTCTCTTAAAATTGATAGCTTTATCCCCATCTTACATGTAAGAAACATGAGGGTTTTTTTAGGTTAAGTAACTAACACAAGATCATTCAGTAAATAAGCTGCTGAGCTGTATGATTCAACATGAGAACTGTATCACTTCCAGGATCATGTCATAACTACTACAGGAAAAAAATCTCCAAAGAATTCTGGGAAAGGTGGTCATAAACGAAGCAATGGAGAAAAACATTTTGCCACATGGATGAGTGAGTATAGCAAACTGTATCACCATAAAATATTTGTAAATCAGTCTTTATTTTATAAAACACCTGCATAGTTGGTAAAGATAAAATTCACAGCTTGAACCCAGGTCTGAGATTCCAACCCTAGAGCTCCTTCTGCTATGTGGTGCTTGCAAAGCAAACCAGACAGATGAGAATCAACCCATTACCAAACACTTCTAGAAGAAATAGTTTCACCTTTCCCTTCAGAGTCACAGGATGAGAAAGAAAGGGTAGGAGTTACAGAAAACAAATGTACCCATCTTCAATATAGAGTCTCAGAGGTAAAAATCTCCCAGATGCAGATTACACAACAACTTTGTGCCTGCCTGCTATTCAACCAAGTGTTTTCATACCCTCCAAAGATATATCCAGGTCAGAATGCCACAAAATTTATTATGAATTCCAAAATGTAGTTAGGCCTTTACCTTGATGACTTTTCCTGATCCTAATTTCAGGCGAAGCAACTTATCTTTGTTAGAAGTAGAGTCAAAAACCTGCAATTTAATTACAGCAAATGAGGTCAGCTAATTTCAAAAAACAATAATAATCATTAAGACATTGAACTACCATATCAGTAGTTTCTGAATAGGGAATGTCAAATAAAACTGGAATATTTTCAGATTCTTAAAGAATCTGAAAAGATGGGACCACATAATGGCTAAAGGGCATTATCATAATCAGTATCTCAATGATAATGATATCCCAGATTAGGAAAAAAAATACATTTCTATCACCATGTATTTAAGCATCTTTCATCCATAAAGCATTTTCAAATAAATTATCTCATTTGATGTAGATGCCAATCCTGCTGGGTAAATAGAATAAGTAGCTCGTGAGCCTCCATTCACAAAAGAAAAAAGGAATTAAGAGCTTCAATAATTTGAGGTCAAATTAGGATAAAACTGGAACTTGTGTTCATATTTTTAGAGTAATAAAGTGATAATCCAAAGATCTTTGTTATATCACATTGCTTTTGATGGCTTCACAATATTAAAATACAATCTCAACATATTTACTCTATCTTCTGTAAGAAAAACTATGAGGAGGGTCTAAAAAGTAAGACCTAATCCCATAAGAACACATTCAATTTAAAACTTGTGTGGTGGGGCTGGGGATGTGCCTCAAGCGGTAGCGCGCTCGCCTGGCATGCGTGCGGCCCAGGTTCGATCCTCAGCACCACGTATCAAGAAAGATGTTGTATCCGCCAAGAACTAAAAAATAAATATTAAAAATTCTCTCTCTCTCTCTCTCTCTCTCTCTCTCTCTCTCTCCTCTCTCACTCTCTCTTAAAAAAAAATCAACTTGTGTGGGAGGACAAGACACACATGAACAACTGGCAAAAATAATACTTGGGAAACTGGTTTGTACTGACCTGTGTAGAAGAAAGTGGCACTGAGCAGATTTTACACATCATTTCATGAATGTGCCCCCAAAGCAGCTATAGTGACTAAAGCAGGGCTCCTGAAAGATTTCTTTTTGTGGAAGGTATTAGCAATTCACAGTACTAATACCTTCCACAGGAATAGCCCTCATACTACCTAAGTTATTAAAGAATTTGCAGGGTACATTCTCTTACCTGGCCCAGCACATGATTCTGAAAGAGCCAGCCAGTATAAGCCACTTCCAAAGAATCTCCAACTTCCACAGCAGGGCCCTCTGCCACAATGAGGTCCTGAGTGAGCACTGCATCCAAGGAAGAGGTGCTATTGCACTTGGCAATGCCCACCTGCAAGACAAAAATCATAGCAGCATGAGTTTGGTTTAAACTCAATAAAGTATTCATTTAAATCATTATTGCCAATTCTCTTTCCAAGCAGCTGCATCCACTAGCATGTTTAGAAGTAAGCCATTCCAAAGTCAGTAATCTTGCCAGGAATCAAAATGCCTAAGAATATGGCATTCCAAAGTCAGTAATCTCTCCAAAAATCAAAGTGCCTAAGCAATTACCTTACAAATCCAGGTACTGTCAGTTCTTAACTCTGCTGTGGCAAAATAACTTAATCCCCATGTACCCAAAAGTCCCCTTTGTAGAATAAAGAAAAAAGCTTTGCCTACTTATAGGATGGTTATGAAAATGAAATGAGTTACAAGTAGGGTACTTGGCAGCACACCCGGAAAATGACATTAAGTACTCTATAAACATTAGTTGTGATTACTATACTGATTTACTATGTCAGCATTAGGAACCTATGAAAGAAAGGGGAGTTTCTAAATAATTTCAAAAGGCACTTCTAAAGACAAAATAAAGTTGTATTCCCAGAACTCAAATCATCACCACTTACAGGCTTGTCTATATTATCTTAGCATAAATCTTAAATAAAGAAGTCAGACACATCTTTGTGAATAATTATTCTATAGTCAATGTTTTAACATATCACACATTATAAACTTGCTACTCATTTTCTTTATTTTTTCTTTATTTTTTATTTTCATTATTGAAATCAGACAAATGCTAACTAAAATGATAGGATATCATCCTCTATCAAGTGACTAAGACAAAAAAGAAAAAAGATCATTCTAAATGCTACTGAAGGCATAAAGAACTGGGATGGATGTGAAATAGTACAATCTTTCTGAGAAACACTGTGTCAGAGTGTGTTTAGAATTTGAAAATAATTTGTCGTTTTGGCCCAATAATTCACTTCTGGAAATATGGAGGGAAAAAGAGGATACAGACTTATATTTTAGAAATGTTCACAATACATTATAGATTTATTTCAGAGGCTAAAAACAACCTAACTTCCTAAAAGCAAGGAAATGGTGAAATAAATTCAGAAGCATCTATTATGTACTAAATGTCTGTGTCCTCCCAAAATTCATTTGTTGAAATCCTAACCCCCAATGTAACAGTATTAGGAGATGGGACCTTCAGGTGATTAAGTCATGAAATTAGAGCCCTTATAAATGGGTTAAGAGCCATTATGAAAGAGAGTCCAGAGCCAAATGGGGTGGCACACACCTGTAATGCCAAAGACTAAGGCAGGAGGATCACAAGTATGAGGTTAGGCTCAGCAACTTAATGAGACCCTGTCTCAAAATAAAAAGGGCTGAGGATGTAGCTCAATGGTAGAATGCCCCAGAGTTCAATCCCCAAACTCTAATACCTCCAAAAAAAGAAAAAAAAAGAAAGAAATAAAAGGAAAAAAATGGGCAAGAGACTCCAAAAAACTCCCCTTTTTACAGCAAATTGCAACTCAGAAAAGGGCCCACCAGAACCCAACCATGTTGAGACCCTGATTTTGTACTTCCAGCCTCCACAGTCATTAGAAATAATTTTCTCCTGTTCATAAAGCCATCCAGTCTATGGTACTTTGTTATAGTAGCCCAAATTGCCTAAGACAGTATCTTGATGCAGAAGGAGGAGGAAGATCACCGAAGCCTCTGTAACAAGAGCATTAATCCCATTCGTGACTACAGAGCTCTCATAACCTAGTCACTTCCCAAAGGTCCCACTTCCTAAAGGCCCCGCCTCCTATTACCATCACTTTGGTGGTTAAGTTTCAATATATGTTTTCTGGAGGGACGGACACTTTTAAACCATATGCAGACAATATCCATATTTTGTAGCTTCAATAGTGTTTCTAAATGATTTTTTAATGAGGTGGGAAATGATACTTTATATACTGCTAAATAAAATAAGCAAAATATGGAACTCTTAAAGAAGTACATCTACTATGTATATTAGGCATATATAAAGAGGAAACGACATAATGTTAATAGTAGTTACTTAGGATAGTGAGATTATGAATGATTTTTTTAAATGCTTTTCTACATTTTCTATGATGAATATGCAATAACAAAACATTGTTTAAGATTTGTATTTATTCCTTAAGATAATTTACGTAGCAAAAATGTTTTAATTAAGTAAGCTTACATATTTAGCCTTTTTTTAATCTTAAAAAGACTCATCAGGCAATTTCAGTAAGTATTGCTATGATTTTCCTAAAAAACAATAAGCTGAAGTGACAATTTTAGTGGGTTTCTTATGCTTGTCACTAGCAAGACAGCAGTTATAGGTTTACATACATGAACCTAGAATTAAGGCAGACCCCAAACTAACACTCTGGCTTTGCACAGGAAAGAGTAATATAATATCACCTGTTTATTGAACTCCACAGCAGCCTTTTCCGACTCAAACATGATGGACCAGTTTTGTCGCTGGTCATCATAAAAGGTGCTATAGTTATTGGGGCGAACCTGGGAAATGAGAAATATTAAGATAATTCAACCACAAGCTGCATGGTAGGAAAGTCTGACTGCATAAATTCATAGAGAAGGACTCAACTTAGGTAAACCCAAAGGGAGGAATCAGGGACCTTTCTTCTTCCTTCCCACCCTCCATGCACCATTCCTCAGCCCCCATTGCAGAAGGAAGCCAAGAGACCTTTCTGAAAGGCTCTGTTACGGGTGCTCAGGGCTGAAGCAGTGGATCTAATTTCTACCAGGTACCCACACTCATCCTTCCTGCAAACCTATCCCAAAGGAGCTAAGGATTCCAGTATGGGGGATGTCTTACCATTAGCTCAAAGTTCAGATGAATTCTAGCAACAGTAACTGGTTGTTGCTGACTGATATAAAGAAGAATCTTATACTGTATTTAAGCAAAATGGGCAGAAAAAAGAAAACAGAAGTTAACAAGCAATATAAAACATAATACATAGTACATAATGCTATGTAAGACATAGGGTTATGCCTTATATACCTACAAAACTCAAAACTCTGTTCATCTCTTAAAGGTTTAGATTTTAAATTATATCTTCTCAGTTTATATCTTCTCATTTTGGCCTTACTCTTTAACTATAATAAACAATCTTTGTTGGTGTTTTCATTCATACAAGGAATGACTAAGAGGTAATTACTTAAAACATAATAGTAAATTGTACAAATCTTAAATGTACAACTCAATGAATTTTTATACATATATATGCCCATGTGATGACCAATCGGATTGGGGTGGGGGAGAAAATATTTCCAGTATCCTAAAAGTGCCATTATGACACTTCCTCTTAATAATCCCTACCCTGAAATAACCACTACTCTGACTTCTATCACTGATTAATTTTGCTATTCTTAAACACATATGAATGGGATTCTAGAGTGTACTCTTGTCTTGCTGCTTCTGCTCACAAGTTAAGATTAAGCCTTGTTACTTCTTGTACCAGACCTTGGCTCTCTTTTCTTGTCATGTAGCATTCTCTTTTATGAATATACCATAATATATTCATCCTTTCTCCTGTTTCATTTTAAGTTGCTTCCAGTCAGAAGCTACTGTGAAGAGTGCTTCTGTGAACATTCCCCATTTCATCTGGAGTGCACAGACATTCATTTCTTTCAACCTACACAGCTTCCTTTAATGTTTCTTACAATACAAATCTGTGGACAACAAATTCTCTCAGCTTTTGTTGGAAAACTTATCTTGTCTTTATTTTTAAAGGGTATTTTTTTGGATACAGATTTCTACATAGGGGTTGGGGGTATAGTTCATGGGTAGAGTATGCATTTAGTATGTGCGAGGCCCTGGACTCAATCCCCAGCATTAAAAAGCAATAATAATTTAATGCACAATAAAATACTACTTTGCACCTACTAGAATAGCAAAAATAAATAACAAGATATTGGCAAGGATGTAGAGAAACTATAACTCTCCACTGCGTGCAGGAATGACTTTGAGAAGTTCCAGACTTCAGTCAAGGAAGTAATTGCAAATGTGGTGCAAATAGTAAGAATTAAAGTATAGCCTGACAATGTGACTGAGTTGCTATAATCTTATGATAAAACTTTTAACAGAAGAGAACTGTTTCCTATGAATGAGCAAAGGAAGAGGCTTCTGCTAGGCGCAGTGGCACCGGCCTGTAAACCCAGCAGCTCAGGAGTCTGAGGCAGGAGGATCACAAGTTTAAAACCAGCCTCAGCAAAAACAAGGTGCTAAGCAATTCAGTGAGACCCTATCTAAATAAAACACAAAAAAGGGCTGGGGATGTGGCTCATTGGCCGAGTGCCCCATGTTCAATCCTAGGTACCAAAAAAAAAAAGAAAGAGGCTTCTTTAGATGGACTCTACCCTTGTTCAAATGAAAACAAAGGATTTAGATTATATAACCTTAGCTGATAAGACAGCAGCCAGGTTTGAGAAGACTAACCTCAATTTTTAAAGAAGTTCTGTGGATAAAATATTATCAAACAGCTTTGCAATTTACAGAATTCTTTCATAAAAGAAAGCTTCACTGTCTTATTTTAAGAAATTGCCATAACCATCACAACTTTCAACAGCTGCCACCCTGACCAGTCAGCAGTCAACAACACTGAGGGAAAATTCTCCACCAGCAAAAAAATTATGACTTGCTAAAGGCTCAGAAGATCATTAGCTATTTTAGTATTTTTAGTTAAGGTATGAACATTTTCTAGACATAATGTTATTGCATACTTAATAGATTACAGTATAGTGTGAGCATAACCTTAATAAGAATTGAACAAACAACAGCAACAATAACAACAACAGAAAACCCTCATGTAACTCACTTTATTGAGACATTTGCTCTATTGTAGTGCTCTGGAACCAAACCTTCAAACCCTCAATATCTCTGAAATATGTTTATATACCCAAAAGAACTGAAAATAGGAACTCAAACTCAAACATGTACTTGTGTGTCAATATTCATTGCCCCATTATTGACAATAGCCAAAGAAAGAGATAATCCAGTGTTCCTCAACTAATACATTATTCAGCCATGAAAAGGAGTGATGTACTGACACATACTACAATGTGGATGAACCTTGAGGATATTGTGCTAAATGAAATAAGTCAATGACAAAAGAACAAATATTGTATGATTCCGCTTACATAAGGTATAAGGCAAATTCATAGAAATAGGATGTAGATCAGAGATTATGGAGGAATGAGGGAAATGGAGATAGAGTTATTGCTTAATGGTTTAAGTTTCTGTTGGGGATTAGGAAAAATTGGAAAGAGATAATGGTGATGGTTGCTCAATATTGTGAGTAGAATTAATGCCACTGAATTATGTACTTAATATAGTTAAATAGCAAATTCTATTTTATATGCACATAGATAGATATAGATACATTAACATACAAATACAGTTGGCTCTCAGTATCTGTCGGTTTTATATCCATGGATTTAACAGAATGTAGATTAAAAATATTTGGTGAAAAAATTTTGTCCACACTGAACACATACAGACTTTTAAAATCATATTATCTAAACAATATAATAACTATTTATTTTGCATTTACATTATATTAGGTGTTGTAAGTAAGCTAGTGATGGTTTAAAGTATGTATACTATAGGAGAATATTCACAGGTTATATCCAAATACAGTCCTAGGACAATAGGGAATTTGATCATGCAGATTTTGGTATCTGCAGGGGGGGGGGGTCCTAGAACAAATCCCCCATGGATACCAAGGAATGAGATACAGAGAGAGAGAAAGAAAGAGAGAGAGAGAGTGTGTGCGCACAGAGTTTATTTCCTACACACTACAAGACTCAAAAGTTTCCCTCTGTATTTCTGGTTCAGCCCCTGGACTTCTACACCATCCCAGTACTTAGCAAATGTCCCATGAAAGAAAAAAACAATCTGGTCTTTGGAAATCCTCTAATTTTTCCAATTTCTCTTTTCTCCATGCCTACTACCTAATCTACACCTAAAACTAGCAAAAATCTCAAGGCAAAGAAACAGAGTTATCTCATTGGCTCTTCCTTTTCTGAAATTTTACTTCATCTAGGCTTCAACATTTTCACAGTACTCCAATGTATTCTGAAGTACAATTTTTGCAATTCATGTACTTCTTTGTACTTGTTGCAGAGATCCACTATATCCTATCTGGTGGTAAGGTATAGTGAAGTCCCACTACAAGATTTTTGAAATCCAAACGGCACCTCCTAATGAATTGATAGATCTAGATAATAATCATTGATGGCTGGTAATATAACAAAATGAGAAATGATCTATTATTTCCTCCTGATGGGAGTATAAACTATTTAAGGGATACAGCAACTAATTGCAATGTATAACCTTATTAGATCCAGATTCAACAAATTATTTTTTTAAAAAAAGCAGAGAGAGGAAATTTGGACACTAACTAGCAGGGAATGAGACTGAGAAATTATTGTCTGCTTTTTTTTTAAGGCATGATAATGGCATAACAGTTTTATTTTTAAATCACTCATCTTTCAGTGATATATACTAAAGTATTTGCAGCTAAAATTGTTTGTTGATATTTGTTCAAAATAATCTGAGTGGGAAAAAGAGGAGAGCATGTGGTTATAGATAACCAAAAAAGACTAATTTAAACTATTAATAATAATTACCTTGGAGTTCAATATCCAAGATCTACTTTTTTAATGAGTTTATCCATTACATTAGTGACCCTGGACAAGTAATCTTATCTCCTTGCCTGAAAGTCTCTGAGGAACATGGAGTCCATGTTCTCCGGACCTCTGAAATTCTATAATTTCCTATATTTATCTCAACAATGTTCAAAATCTTTTGGAGTAGTTTTTATAGATAGATTCAACCCATACCAAAAAATGAGTCTCAGGGCTTGTAGCTACTTCTGCTTTTTGACCCAAACTACTATTATACTGTGAGCAACTGCCCAATCTTGTTTTCAAATTTTCAAAAGATAAACATTGGTCATTAACAAAAGCATAAAGATATGCTGCTTGAAGTAATATTATAAAGTTCAGTACACAACAAAAGGATGTCCGTGATAATAGTTTACTCTAAAACCCTCCAAATTCTTAAGCTAGGACCATTTCACAAAGATGTCTACAGTAAAGATTTTGAGTGGTTGAACCTGTTTTAACTCATAACAGCAAGCAAACTATGTTCATTTGTTATATCCTAATATTATACACTTATATTCAAATTCAGCAATCATTCTGACACATGAGACACTTGGACATGTCTGCTCCCAGATTTAAAAAAAAAAAAAAAATCAGCTCACTGGTATTATTTGAAGCACTTGAATATGCATGAGATGTATAGCGTTCTTACCTCTCTGGCTGTGTGGTTCCCCAGGACTGCAGCACCAAATTTGCCCTGCTTTACATACTGACCATTTGTGCTATTGAAGTAAAAACAAACAAACAAACAAAAAACAAGAGATATTAATACTCTTCTGAACTATACAGAACCAACTTTCACTCACTCATCTAAAAGGGGGAGTCCAGTCATTCAGCCTTTAGGAAGGGACAGAGGTGGGCAGTTTATAATTTAAAGCCCTAACATAACTTCTTTACTCTTTAAATATCTATTATTCATGATATCTCAGTGCAGTGGCTTTCTCTGAGAACTTGAAAAGGCAGTTATTGGTTATGAGCATTTCTTAAAAACAAGAGATGAAATAATGGCTCTGTATGTTTTATCGTTAGAAATCTCCAACTGAAATGTTAAAAGTGTTACTGATACTTAGTCTGTGGAAGGGCTGAGTAAGTAGTTTGCAATGAATAGAGGCTTTCTGAGAAAAGACAGCAGCTTAATTGCAGTCCCTTCTCCTACACTAAACTTAAGAGAACTTCCCTTCTCAGCTACTTACTATCGATATGCATGGACTGCTGTTGCAACCAGTACTGTGGAAGTGCCCGCTGTGGTTGGTGCTGTTTTTGGTGTTGCCTGATTTCCTGAAGATGAACAAAACGAAGTCGTCAATCATTTCTTGCTTGAAACTGATTTTAACCATTAAACTAGCTTTAAAATTCTTCTTTATACCCAGTTAGTGTTATAATGCATTCACATCCTCATTTGATCCACAAGATAATCCCATGACCCAGTCTCGGGGTGAGGCAAAAGGCTGTAAGCATTCAAGTGCCTTCCACAAAGACAGCAATAAGTCTTGGAGTAGAACTCATGACTCCAACTCCCAAGCCACAAACCACAAACAAGTCTTTGAGCTGCACAGAAGCACTGTCTAGCAAGCATGGTCCTATTACCTCTACTTGATTTTCTCCATCAAATATTTTGACAGCTATGATATATAAAAATAGATATTTCTCAGGTTTTGGATGTAGCTTAGTGGTGGAGTACTTGCCTAGAATATACAGTGCCCTGGGTTCAATCCCCAGTAACACAAAAATAATAAATTAATTAAAAAAAAAAAAACTAAGTTGTTTCCCTTTTTCTTCCTTCTGGGGTAGGAAATTTGGGGTGATTTAAATCATACCCTTTACTTAACTTCACAAAGTGCTCTAGAGTAACACTTATGTTCTAAAATTGGAAATTGTGGCTGGGGATGCAGCTCAGTGGTAGAGCCAGTGTTAACATGAACCATGCCCTGGGTTTAAACCACATATCTAAAGAGTTGGTGTCAGTCAGAAAATTTCTCAGTGTATGGGGAAAACCCTGCACACAATTAGCATCATAGACAGATGCTGTGAGTGAGTAGAAAGTACAGAGTAAAGAAAACAAAATAGTTTGTTCCTTCCTTTTACATGGGCCATACATATGGGATCTATTGCCGCAACTCAACTCTAAACACCCTGATAAGTATCTTCAGTGCTAGCATAGTACTTAACATGTAAAAGGTACTCAATACTTTCTTTAATCTTCATTCAACAAGTATTTCATTCAATGTCCCTAACCATCTGCTCTACTTAGGATTATTACTATCAATCCCTTATTCCTACTTGGGTTCTTATACAAAGACAGCAAAGTGTAAAGGAAGGAATAAAAGCTACTGAGTTAGTTAGATCAGGGTTCAAATTTCAACTCTTGTCATTTACTAAGTATTGACCTTGATCAAATTCCTAAACTTCTCTGAGCCTCTATAATCTGGTTATGTCACCTACTTCACAGAATCGCTGCAAGAATGAAATAAGACAACCTATTGTAAAGCACCTGAGGCCAGACACATAACAGACATCTTAGAAATATTAGTCCCCAGTTCTCTCCTTTTGTCCAGCAGATGTGCATTCAACAAATGCTTCCTGTGTCCATTCTGATAAAAGAATAAGACTTACTGCAATGCTTGTCATCATCTAGTTAGGAAAAATTCAGTCAGCACACAGCTAACCCACTCAAGTGCAAGAAGTGTTAAGCAGTTCTTCTTTCTCACTGAAACACTACTAGAGTGCCTTGGGCAGTTTTGGAGGGTGGCATGCACATGGGGTGGTGTGCATATGGGACAGAAGAGCTTGCCCCTGACCTTCTCCACTAGTTCCCAACAAAGAGCATACTATCTAGCCACTGGAACTCAGGATCCCAGAGTTTAAAGATGCATCCATCAGTAGAGTGGCTTAGCCAGAAGGTCAAGGCTGAACCACCAGGCATGTGGCTTTTGCAAGGCTGCTTATGACTCTAACCTGTTAAGGCACAATGAAAACGCCTCTTAACTTACCTATTGCTGCTGTTCCCGGGCCTTTCTTAGGCTGCTTTGGAGCTGTATACTGGAAGAATTCATTTCCATGGCCAGCAGCAACCTGATCCAGTCCAAAAAGAGAGGCCAGTCTGGCACTGTTAGTAGAAAATAAAAATGAAATTTCATTTGACATATCCCAAACTTGGAGTCATTATAAAAGCTGCTCACCTCCAACCTGAACAAATACCTCCCCACCATTCAATATTGGAAGTTGCAGCTGTAATCAAGTGTAATTGTACTCTGAAAACATCAGCTGACCCTGTCCATCCATAAGTCTTGGGTTTGTTTCTTCTTCTTGTGCCCCAGTTTCTCCATCTAAAAACTGAAATTAGTCCAGTTGCTGTGTTTATTTGAACTGTAAATTCTTGCTCAAGCAAAAAAACATAATTTCTTGTCATTCTACTAATTACTCCCTCTCCTCTTTTTGCTAGTTGATTAAGATGTAATGAAACTGTAATACAAACTCACCAGCAGACATAATCTCTCCTATCATTCCATCTAGCATGGAGGACCATTCTTTGTTCATCTCTTTCAGGTATCTTATGTCTCCAATTTCTACTGAAACAGGTCTTACTAAGGTCACTCACTAAGGCCTCTATTATCAAATAAAGTTTATCAGTGCTTATCTTATTTGACTTCATGCTACCTTTTTATACAGTCCACTAATTTGTTCTACAAACAATCTCTTCCCATCACTTCTTTGGAGATACCTACAAGAATGGAAGGAAGGACAGGTCCTAATAAGACATCAATAAGGGGCTGGGGATGTGGCTCAAGCGGTAGCGCACTCGCCTGGCATGCGTGCGGCCTGGTTTGATCCTCAGCACCACATACAAAACAAAGATGTTGTGTCTGCCGAAAACTAAAAAATAAATATTAAAGTTCTCTCTCTCTCTCTCTCTCTCTCTCTCTCTCTCTCTCTCTCTCTCTCTCTTTTAAAAAAAAAGATTAAAAAAAATAAAAATTAAAAAATTAAAAAAACATCAATAAATGCTAATGGGATCCCTCTCTTGTTTTCTTCCCATAGCTCTGACTCTCATTTAACTTTCTTGCCTCCTTTCCTTTGTCTGTTCTTTAAATGTCCATGTCCCCAAGGTTTTAAACTCTCTCCCTTGGCAATCTCTCTTATTTACCTTGGTATCAAAGACTATCCTAATGCTGATAAGCTCAAATCTATATCCCCAGTCCAGAATTTGCTCTTGTGTATTGGAAAACACAGATATACCACAGGCAACCCAGACACAAGTCCAGCCCAGAGCTCATGTCCTCCCATGTCCATTGCCCCTAAAAACCTATTCTTCCTCTTGGGCCCCAAGATCATTGTGGGTTCAATGATTCACTAGGACTCACTTGACTTGGCATATAGCTCAACTCATGACTAATATCTATACATTGAAAGGATACACAGTGGCCAGGCATGGTAGCACATGCCTGTAATCCCAATGACTCTGGAGGCTGAGATAGAAGGATCACAAATGTGAAGCCAGCCTCAGCCACTTAGCAAGGCCCTAAACAACTTAGTGAGAGCCTGTCTCAAAAAATAAATAGAGCTGGGGACTTAGTTCAGTGGTAAAGTACCCCTGATCCCCAGCACCAAAAAAAAAAAAAAAAAAAACAGAGAAATCAGAAAAGGTAAAAGGTACAGGTGTCGAAGTCCAGAGGAAATCTGGCACAAGCTTCTAAAAGTCTTCCCTTGGTAAGTGAAGTGACACAAGACTTAACTCCAGCAATGAGTTACAACAACGGTGTAAAGGACAATCTATAAAGGAAGCTTATTAAAGATTCAATGCCCAAGATTTTTATTGGGGTCAAATCATACAGACAACCTCTGCCTAGCAAGTACCAAAACTCCAGATTCACAGAAGGAAAGCAGATGTTCAGTGTAAATCATATTATTTGTACAAAAGTTTAGGCACAGTAAGACACTCTTAACACTTTATTAACACTTCATATCAGTGTGAGGAATTGTTACCAGTAAATTCCCAGATACCAGACAAGTACCAACTTTGTAAACAGGACTTTCTAAGTATTATAGTCTCTGGCCTGGTATGTTAACTCTTTTCTTAAATATCCCCAACCAAAATGAAAACCTGAACATAATCTTTGATTTTTTTCTGCCCAATGGTCATGGTCATGCCCAATCTCCAACTCCATTTGATTTTATTTCCCAAATGCTTCTTAAAGCCATTCACTGTTCCCCATCCTCACTGCCACTTTTCTACTCAGGCCAACATCACAGGTAGCTAGCTTCATTTTCTGCAACACTTCCTGAGTCACCTCTCTGCCTTGGTTTTATCTGCTTCTTATCCATTATCATCACTGCACCCACAATGATCTTTCTAAAAACCAAATTTGACCAAGTCTCCTTCCTCCTGAAAACCCTCAATGACACCTCAATATTACCAAGATAAAACCCAAACTCCACAAGACAGTTTTACAAGGCCATTAAGGCCTCACCTCTCCTTATTTCTCAGCTTCCCACCTGATCATTTCTTATCTCCACCTGTGTGCTATACCTACCCCAAGAAACTTTTAGTTTCTCAATATGAAACAAAATATATTTTGAGTGGTACTGGGATCACACCCAGAACCTCACAAATGCTAGGTAAGCATTGTACCACTAAGCCAAACCCCCAAGGCAAGATCTTCTTAATCTCCAGCCTTTGGACATGGTGATCTCTCTATCTAACTTTCTTCCTGTTCCTCTTTCCCCCTGGAAGATGCCCCAGTTCTAGGTTAGATGATCCTCCTGGAAGCTCCCATAATTCTCTATACTTCATTCATGCCAGAAATCCATCAGGCTGGGGATGTAGTTCAGCAGTAGAGCATCTGCACCACAAAGAGAGGGAGAGAGGAGGGAGGGAGGGAGAGAGAAAGAAAGACTGAGAGAGAGAGAGAGAGAGAGAGAGAGAGAGAGAGAGAGAGAATGGTGATACACATTTGTAACCCTAACAACTCAGGAGGCTGAGGCATAAGGATTGCAAGTTCAAGGCCAGCCTCAGCAACTTAGTGAGGCTGTAAGCAACTTAGCAAGACCTTGCCTCAAAAAAAAAAAAAAAAAAAAAAAAAGTAAAGCATCCCTGGCTTCAATCCCAAAGAAAGGAAGGAAGGAAGGAAGAAATGTATGTCAGACATCATGCCAAGTGCTAGGAATACATCGGTGAGCAAAACTGGATTTTTTTTTACAACTCACCTTTCTATTTTGTATAATCTTCATTGAAAACTAGATTCTGTTTTCCAGGAGTTTATGGTCTAATTAGTAAATGAGACATTATATGATATATGATTGCAAATTATGAGATACATAACAGGGGCAGCTATTGTATGGCATTGTACTCCACAGGGATTAATAAAAGTTATTCAATCATTTCTCATATGACATGGTAATTGATTATTTATTATAATTTCCACTTGACACCATATTTTGCCCAGGGTCTGGTATATATTCTTAATAAATGCTATTATTTGAAATGTGTCCCTCAAAAAGCATGTGCTCCACCCTCATGAACTGATTTACACTGAATTATAAAAAGGGCTTGAGGCTGTAGGTTTACAGCAAGAAGGCTCTAGACAGATGCTGGCACCTTGATATTGGGGGACTTCCCAGTCCCTAGAACTGTGAGAAACTAATTTCTATTCTTTATAAATTAGTCTGTCTATTCTAACAACACAAAATAAACTAGACTTCTTTGTGATCCTCCTGCCTTCACCTCCTGAGGAACAAACTGGGGTTACAGGTATGTACCATCATGCCTGGCTTTTTTGTTTTGTTGTGTTTTACAATTTATATGTATACATAGCCCAAACCATTTGCAAAATAAATTCAATATGACTTAAAACTATAATCTTGTTTTGTCAAAGAATCTACTGTAAGTTTCCTGTAAATGAAGTAAAAAATTCTTACAATAAAGACTAAGAGGTTAAAGATTGCTATGTAATTGGGGAAGAGCAGTGCTAGCCTGAATACAATATCAACAAATGCTAGTGAAATTTAAAAGAAACCAAGATTATCTCCATTTAGCCAGGACAATCTAGGGCAGATTTCCTAGAGGAAGATTCTGGGAGAGTTGAGAAACACCTTTAATATAGTAAAAAGTTTACCAAGCTTAAAATCTAGTTAAGATATAATTGCATATGCACATTAATAAGAAAAAGAATACCCTTGTTAGCTTCAGCAAAATATGGGTATTAGGTTTGCTATTTTAATTTTGCAAGTATCTTCTTTTTCAAAGGCAAGACAGATGTGTCATAGGTAAACTGTGTTTCCATAAATATCTTAAAAGCCAGTCAAATGATGATTGTAAAATCAATATAAAGGCCAAGTCAAACTAATTAACTTACAGATTAATTTCATTTACCATTACTATTTTAAAAATAGACTATATACATTCTTAGGAAGATAGTTTCTGAGACTCACTATATTTTTCTTCTTGTAAGATGTTCTCAAGTGTACACAATCTACCTGACCATGTTAGAAAGAATGGGCTTGCTAATTCTAGACTTGATTATCTATGTTAATAATTGATAAAAAAGTCATTATGGCGTTATTATTTTAAAAGTAAAAGTTAGTCAGTGCTTTAGTTGCCAAGGTCCTTACCTCACCTTAGTTTCATATTTGTTTGCTATTCTCTTTAAAACAAACATACATCATTTATGCTATATCAATATTTTAATAAACAGGGATTCTTTTTGTTAGTAAAGTACTTCTTTCATGAATTGTGACATCAAACATCTACTTATACAATAACGATAATGTCACATGGGCAGATCTGGTGAAATACACCTGCCTGATTTCAAGCCAGGCTCCATTAATAACAGTGCCACCTTAGGCAACTTACCTTTCTGAGTTGTTCCCATCTGTAAAATGGGTATAACTGTTAAAACTACCTCATAGGCAATAATGACTAAATATGATAATGTGTGTTTATGTATTCCTTGGTACAGTACCTGGCACTAAATAAACACACAATGTTTTATATACTTGTGAACATATCCTTCACAGATATTGAATCAGATATTATCATACAGAAGAGAGAAGGCTTGATTGATGCACAAATCTCTAAGTAAAAATTGACATTAGCATAAATACAAAACAATAGAACTAGGAAAAATCTCAAAGGATCATTTGAGGCAAACCTCATTATTTAATAAATTAGGGTATGCAGGGACAAGAATGGTGACTTGACTTAAGTCACATTCCTAAAAGGAATGATTTATCATTACTAATGCTAATCAGATTTGCCTACACATACCTCTAATAAAATATAAAACAAATGTATTCGTAACTGGTCCCTTAAAGATGCTTTGAAAAAAGCCAGGTATGGTGGCTCATGCCTATAATTCCAGCTACTCGGGAGGCTGAGACAGGAGGATCACTTGAGCCCAGAGGTTTCAGCTGGGGCAACATAGTGAGACCCTATCTCAAAAACAAAACAAAAACAGCTTTGTGATTATTATTACTACATTGATTTTACTCTACTACTAAAATGAAATTTCTTAGGGGTAGGAATTGCATCTTATTCCCAATTATATTAGCTGAACCAACTATTATTCAATTAATAGGCAATTACACATACTTCCTTATTTTCAAAGTCATAGTGGTAGAAAAAGGGCTAAGATAAAAAAAAAAATCTCCTGATTACTCTTTCTAGCTTAACCATGTACTTTAAGAGGCCCAGAAACTTAAAAAAGAGATTATCAGTCATCTAGATGGTCATCTTTGGCACTAATATTCCTACTTCTAATAGGTTTGAATGTCCTAAGTAGGATCAAGTCAGAGAGTTAAGTAAATAGACCTGAAACTTAAATGAACAAGTATATTTGCAGTAAATCAGTTATAAAAAGGGAACTGAAAAGCAGTGTTCATTGTCATATGTTCTACTTCCTTAGAGAAACTAAAGGAGGAATAGCTAAATCAGAGAATGCTGATGAACCTTTCCCTAGTCTCAATTTTTTTCTCTTCTTTTTGATACTGGGGAAGGAACCCAGAGGTACTCTATAATAGAGCTACGTTCCCAGCCTTTTTAACTTTTATTTTAAGACAGTCTTGCTAAGTTACTTAGGGTCTTGCTAAGTTAGTCTAGAACTTGTGATCCTCCTGCCTCAACCTCCCAAGTCACTGGTAGGTGTGTGCCACCATGCCCAGCCCTATTCTCAATCTTAAATTTTATTTTATTTTCCTGGTTGTTGCTGGGAACAAAAATAAATTATCAGATTAACTTTCTTAATAAGTTTCTTATCATTAAATTAGCTGATATATGTGTCTAGGAGAAAATCATGTGCCTAGAATTGAGTGTCTCAGGTTCTTGATAAGCCCATACAGGAAAGCAGAATAGTCGAATCACCAAGAACTTATCTTGGGTCAGGAATCCAGAAAAGGGCACATGACCATCATGTCTACTCTTGTAATTTTCAATCAGCAGTGGACTGCTTGACTCATGAGAGCTGGAAGTATAAACATTCCTTTGCAGACTTTTCCAGATACTTTTGCATAGTGGAGAATGTGAATTTAAAGTATGCTTTGAAAATGTCTAATATGCAGCCACACACAAACTAGGTTTGCATAAAAATATATTAATTCAAAAGGCTAACTACACAACCAACAGAAGCAGGGAAACTGGACTGCATGGTGATTTTAGTGAATGTTCTGAGTCAGATAGGGAAGAAAGGAACCAAAGCACAATTTAAAGTAACTGAGCATCTGAAATTACTCAAAATGGAATTAAGTGGATGCAGGCCATCTAAAATGACAGCGGGGGTAAAATAAAGTAGTGAGTCAAAAAAAAAAAAAAGAGGGGCTGGGGCTGTGGTTCAGCAGTAGAGTGCTCACTTAGCATGTGTGAAGCCCTGGGTTCAAACCTCAGCACCACATAAGAATAAATAAATAAAATAAAGGTATATACAAAAAAGAATGATAGGTAATACATTACTAGTCAGTGGGTCCACAAAGAGTCCAAAAGATAGTCAGTCATCTTATGGTTATTTATGTGTTAAACTCTGCAACAGTAACTTGAGGATCAGTACAGCAGCTTAATCATCTCTGTAACCTCTTGGCATTTAGTAGAACAAGGGGCATATGTTGATGTGCTCATCATTCTTCAGGATGCACAATATTTGTAATGAAGATGGTCAAAGAAAGGCTATGCAAACATCAGAGACTGGCAGTCAAGGTGTCTTAATACAACACAAGAGAAAACACACTAACCCAATACAAACCCTGAAAACCCTAAACTAATTATTGAAAACGACGATGGTATACATAATGTTTGAGGACTGGGGTTAACCACCGCAGGCTCTCACAATGGTTTTAAATTTCACGGTTTACAGAGTGCAATTTCACAGCTATTATTCAAAAGACACTCACTGATCATTTACTATGTGCAAGGTCCCGTGTTAAAACCAACAATATAAGCTGTCCCTGTCCTACCAGGGTTATAATCTACTAGGTTCGCATGCAAAGACAAGCCTGGTGGGACGAATGAGAAAGTACTTCATTCTGCCCGGGGTGATGGGAGAGGGAAAGTACCAAAAAGGTGACATCCGATCTAGGCCTTGAAGAATGCTGGGGCCGACCCACCAGTCCTGGTTCTAAAGTGTCACCGCCTCATCCATGGTTCTAGAAGAGAAACTCTCGTGTGGCCCCAGCTGACTCCTCTAAAAACTCGGAGGCAGGCAGATTCATCAGCAATCACCCCGCTTCAGAGAAATTGTAACCCAGGGAACAGAAGGAGAACCCCAGAGTCATACTGCATGTCAAGGGAGATGCCGGCTCCAGAACCCAGATCCACAGACTCCTCGCAGTTTCGAGCCCTGCCCAAGATTCTGAGGAGTGTAAGCACCGGAATGCGGCCGGGGTCTGGACCCGGAAGTTGGAAAGAGGCCTGAGAAGAGATCGACCCCTCCAACCATCCGCCGGTCTCTGTCAGCCATGCCTTGTGGCCCGTGCTTCTCAGTCACTCACCCGCCACTAGGCGAGAGGAAGTCGGTGTCGTCCTCATCCCCGGCACCGAACATCGCGTTCGCCTTCTCCAGGCGGTGGGGAGAAAGCCGGATGTTCCCAGGGCCTGTCACCGCCGACGTCGTAAAATGCCGCGGTGGCGCGCTTTTTTCCGGCAGGGCAAACTCGCCCGGTTGCTCTGCCGCGAGGAGACTGGATTCTGGAGAAGGTGGAGCAAAGGCAAATGAGGGCTTCGCGCCGGCACGACGTGAGGCCTCTCCTGCCCGCAGAGGGGGCGGGATTCCGAAGTTCTGCGCGAGGATTGGTCAGCGAGCCTAGGGGCGGGGCAGGGGCGGGAACCCGCGGCCTCTGTGGCAGTGGTGGACACGTCGAGCCGGGCAGAAGTAGTAGGGGCTTCTGAGAAGTCCTGAATCGGTGACGAGCTCAGGCTCTGAGAGCGAGGCGCCTGTGGCGGGACTCGACCTGGCAAGGTAAGGCCTCCCCGCTGCTTCTCACAACCCTGGCATGGCCACTGTCCTTCTCCCTCCGGGGCAAGGACCCTCCGCCGCTCTTCTCTGCTCGGCGGAAGGAGAAAGATCCCCAGACTAGAGATCTGAGTCTTGGCCTGGCTCCTACAGTGACATAGCTGGAGTGACCTTAGGCAGGGTGCTCGGTGCCTCAGTTTCCCCTCTATGCAATGGGCAGTGTGTCCAGTTCCCTGTATACCAACTTGTCAAGAAGCTTTTAAACCTCAAAGGTCATTGAGTCCAATTCAGGTCCCCTCATAATCCCAGAATTTGCAATTAAGGAAACAGTGAACTTGGGTGACTAGTCCGAGGTCACGCAGAGTAAAGGGCAGGCTGGGACTGGATTCCTGATCCTTCCATTCAGGATTCAGAGAGCTAATGAGTGAACAAGAACCTAATAGCCCTTGAACACTGTGTGCCCATCTAAAGTGGTCATCACTGGACTGTGTGGTATGTGCCAGGGAGCAGGGAAGGAGGGATACCCCTTTCCAGAGTACCCGCAAGTAAGGTGCAGAAAAACTAGGATATTCTAGGAGTGGGTGACGAAAAGGAGAAAACTCTGGGGACATTAAAGCCCCTGGTTTTGCTGAGTCTTCTTGCAACAATCCTAAATCAACATCAGTTTATGCCAACTTTTCTGCCTCCAGTTTCCACCCTCTGTGTCTTACATAAATATTTCTTTGGTTAACCTGGTATAATTCTTGGAACAATCTTGGGGTAGCTCTGGCTTAACCAAGCTGTGGTTGTAGTATAGTACAACAACCACAGTGTAGTATCCATTTCCACAGGTCTCACTCGAGTTGTTTCACTCAGTCTTCCCCCTCAGTCGGGTTGGTCCCTTACCTGAATGTTTTAATCTCTTAGCATTATATTAAAGTGAAGTGATTGGTAGCTTAGGCTGAGAGAACTTCGTTCCTTTTGGCACTTCCCTGGTTGTGCTTCTTATTATAGTTTGCATATTACTAAATTGAAAGCCTTCTTGCCCATAATGAGTTCTCATTAATTCTTTATTGGTTTGAATAATGAAATTTATCCTTGTTCCTGTATTTCTTAATTTACTTAGATTGCTTTTCCCGTGTGACCCATAGAATCCAGCCATGACTCTTGCCTTGTATAGGTAGCTTCCAGAGAGATAAAAATGCTGTATTGGCTGTGAACTATCTGGGTTGCTTACTCTCTTTTGTTAATTGAAGGTGATTGTACTATATTATCTGAAACTCTAGGGGAGGGAAAGGGGGGGAATAGGATAGCTAGAAATATTATATGTAACTATAATTTTTGTAAGTAAATTATTTCTCTATTTAACTGAGGATAAGGCTGTTCGTTGTTTCTTATGTTTATTTTACAGTTTAAGATGGTTAAAGCAGTGAAGGCTAAGAGTGTTAAAATAGTGATGCAAGTGGAATCTAAGCACTAGAACTGGAACCTGTTGTAGTAGCTCTGAATAGAATGTGAACTTGTCTACCTCTGGGTGGGGGGAATGAACTGGATAAATGAGCTTGGCTACCTCTGGGGGCAGAAATGAACCTTAGCTCTTTTCTAGCTCCTTCTCCCTAATATATGTCACTCAGCACTAGAGTAGTGTTGTTTTGTTTTGTTTTGTTTTTCTGTGGTACAGGGATTGGACCAGGGTTGCTCTTCTACTGAGCCATATTTTTAACCCTTTTCATTTTTTGATTTGAAACTAAGGCTGGCTTTGAACTTGGGATTCTTATGCCTCAACCTCCCAAGTCGCTAGGGTATGCCTTAGGGCCCAGTTTAAACAGTGCTTTTAAAAGATACCAAGCTCATCTTTGATTCTCTTGAGCTCTTATCTTGCATTCTTGGATGGAGATGTTTTTCTCCAGATGTTTTAAGCAGCCTTTTTTGATATTTGGGAATCCTAAAAATCAACCTTTTTGGTGACTGCGTCACCACAAACATGAATACCCAGATTACCATTGTGGGGACACAGGTGCTGATTTTTTTCATTGGCAGTAAGAGAAATAGAAAGATGGTGGCAAGTATTCTACAGTCCAACACTCAAATCTGCAGGATTGGGTGTACCTGAAAAGCAAGGGTTTTCCTGAATTAGAGTATCTCCAGATTGATAGTATTAGATAAAGAAGCGGGAAACCTGGGCTTCTGCCCCAACCTCTTCTAACTCACTCTGAGCTTGGGCCAGGCTCCAAAAACACTTTGGAATGGATCTCCTTTCATATGTCTACTGAGTGTCACTGGGGCACAAAGATAAGACACAACCCTGATCTCAAGTTTAAATTAACTATTTGTGTTTATTTTGTTTTGCTTAAGTATACAGCTTTTCAGTGTATTCATAAAATGTGTTGATCTCCTGAAAATTGACTGGGAAGCAGCAATTTTAATAATTCCTTTCAAATTACCAGTAATTTTGCAACAGATAATTTTATATACAAGTATACACATATTGACCTGTGCTGGTGAATGTGTTTTAATATTAATGAAGTTCGAGCTAAGTTAAATTATGGATGTGATATAGGGATTTGAATTGAATAAGTTTGATATTGGTATAGTGTTTTGTTCCTTCCATCACTTAAAGCAGAAGAATGTCAGAATACAATTCAAGAAATATCATCTGAAAGCCTATTGTGTGTGAAGGACTGTGCTGGGTGTTGTGTAGGGTAAGAAAGTAAGTAAATCATTGTTTTGTCCTCAAAGAGTTCACAGTCCATAGAGGGTAGAGTACACAAATAACCATAACTGATGACATAGTGAAGAAAGTTCCATAAAAAGAAGAAATTAATTATTGTAGGATTTCAAAAGAGGAACAGCTCATACCTAGTTTGGAGGAGATTATAGGGTTAGGAATAGGCTTTGAAGATGAGTAAGATTCCAAGTGAAAGTGAGGAAATAAGCCTTTCCAGGTTGAGGGGGCAACTTTGGCAAACACACAAAGTTAATTAAAGTGGGAATCCTCTGAGTATTAGTTACATACATAATTTACACATTTTATTCTAATTTAAAATATAAGCATCCTTTGCAGGATGCTTATATTTTAAATAATATAAGCATTTATATTATTTTCTTTTAACCTAAGGCTCAGCCTTTTCTAAAGTGTTGGTCTTAGAGATCAACACTTGTGAATCCTACCCCAGCCCCCTGTCTGTTATTGTAAATAAGGTTTTTTGGCACAGCTGTGCTCATTTATTTATATATCATCTTTGGCTACTTCATCCTACAAGGCAGTGTAAGTGGTTGCAGCAGAAACTGCAACCATTTTGTCCATTATGCTTAATGTCTACTGTCTGACCCTTAAGAGATCACATAGAAGTCTTAATCTATGGTTTCTTTAAAATGCAGTGAATAAAGTCATTTGCAAAGCAGTCCCAATGCAGAATCTTTCTAGGTGTTGATGACATTTCCTCCCAGCCTTTATATTGGACTTTTCCACATACCTAACAGCACCTTTATCTAGTCTTTCCAAAATAGTTAGTTTGATTTTTATACAAACAACTACTAGTGAGGCTCTGTGGAATAGTAGTTATATTAAGCTCTAGAGTCAAATTTCTTTGCTACTTATTAGTTGTATAGGCCTTAGGCAAATTGCTTGGTTTCTTCCTTTGTAAAATAGGAGTAATGATAGTATCCATTTCTTTGGGTTCTTGTAAAGATTATATGAGTTATGGTATATAAAGCACTAAGAACAATGCCTGGCAGGTAATAAGTACTCGATTTGTGTTAGCTACAACTCTCATTTTTCCCATTTATACGTCACTATTTTACATAATATGAAATTAAGTTATATATTTACAACAATAAACTCAACTGGCATAAATTGGTTTGTGAACGAACACAATTGACACTCTTCCTAAACACAGCTTACTGAGAGGGAGAACAGAAGTGTTGCCTCCATCATATTGGAGGATGGCCTAGCCATTGTGTTGTTAGGTAAGTTGCTTAAGAGTTCTGTGGGAGAATTTATTAAGTATAAGACAATAATGATGGATTAAAATTAAAAAGGAATCTAGAGCCATATATGTTAACAAGTTTGTCCTTAGATCAGTAGGAAAAGGATTTTTTTTATTCTAGTGACATGATTAATACAAGAAAAATCTATATGGCCTAGAAGTGTCTGAAATATAAAGTCAACTGTTACCTTGCCCCACTCCACATGAATAGTCCCTTCTTGGGGATGTAAGAATTGAATGCGATCCACCATTCAGGGCAGTGTAATTGACCTGTTGAAAACCTCAATCCAGTTCCCCTTGGGTTATAATCTCAATTTTGAATTGATAAGGATAAAAGTTTCAGTCTGAATGTGAATAAAGTAAAATGACTCCTTAGAAGGTAACAATTCCTACTATTCAGAGTCTGATACTTAATGTCTTCCTCTCCCTTTTGTTTCCAGCATGGCTCTGCTGTTGATTCCTCTTTGCACTTTCCCCACTACAATAGGGAAAAGATGACACAATTATCACTAGAAAAGCAGGTTTTTGCAGTGACAAAATGACTTCAGCTAGTGAATGTCAGATAAGTCAGTGACCAGGCAGCATCCAGATAACTTCATTTCAAGTTGGCAAGGCAAGCATGATGGAGAAAGGGGAGGGAGGCCTGAGGAAGTTGCTGATGCCACATGCAGTTCTTAGCATACCAAAACCATTTGAAAAAATCATTGGTGTCCCATACTTTGTGACTAAGTATGACGAGTCGTC